TTTAGTTCCAAAAAAAAAGAACTAAAACTTTTTCAGGTTTCAAAACAAGATGGAAAAAAGTTTTAGTTCCAAAAAAAAGAACTAAAACTTTTTCAGGTTTCAAAACAAGATGGAAAAAGTTTTAGTTCCAAAAAAAAGAACTAAAACTTTTCAGGAAAAAAATAGTTCCAAAAAAAAGAACTAAAATTTTTTCAGGTTTCAAAACAAGATGAAAAAAGTTAAAAGAACTAAAACTTTTTCAGGTTTGAAAACAAGATGGAAAAAAGTTTTAGTTCCAAAACAAAAGAACTAAAACTTTTCAGGTTTCAAAACAAGATGGAAAAAGGTTTTAGTTCCAAGAAAAAAGAACCAAAACTTTTTCAGGTTTCAAAACAAGATGGAAAAAAATAGTTCCAAAAAAAAGAGCTAAAACTTTTTTTAGTTTTCTAAACAAGATGAAAAAAGTTTTAGTTCCCAAAAAATCTTGAGTTCCTACCATTTTAAAAGATATTTTAGGTACATATGTTATGCATTTTTTTTGGTATTCTTGTTTCTAAGTGCTATTTATTTTTTAATATTTTATTTTTGTGTGTGTTTTTTATTTTTTTCCTTAAATTCCCCCCAAAAAAAAGCTTTTTTTTTAGAACTAAAACTTTTTAGTTCTTTTTTTCAAGACTTCTACGTTGAAAATCTACATGAAATCCTTGGAAAACGATGCTTTTTTGATCAAATTTCTACGTAGAAGTCATTGATTTTCAGCTCTTTCTACGTAGATATTTGATCAAAAAAGCATCGTTTTCCAAGGATTTCATGTAGATTTTCAACGTAGAAGTCTTGAAAAAAAGAACTAAAAAGTTTTAGTTCTAAAAGAACTAAAACTTTTTTTTGGAATTTAAGGAAAAAAGAATTTTTTTAATAATAAACAATAAATAGCACTTAGAAACAAGAATATCAAACAAAAATGCATAACATATGTACCTATTTTTTTTTTAAATGGTAGGAACTCAAGTTTTTTTTGGGAACTAAAACTTTTTTCATCTTGTTTAGAAAACTAAAAAGTTTTAGTTCTTTTTTTTGGAACTATTTTTTCCATCTTGTTTTGAAACCTGAAAAAGTTTTGGTTCTTTTTTCTTGGAACTAAAACCTTTTTCCATCTTGTTTTGAAACCTGAAAAATTTTTAGTTCTTTTTTTTGGAACTAAATCTTTTTTTCATCTTGTTTTGAAACCTGAAAAAGTTTTAGTTCTGTTTTTTTGGAACTAATTTTTCCATCTTGTTTTGAAACCTGTTTCCATCTTGTTTTGAAACCTGAAAAAGTTTTGGTTCTTTTTTTTTGGAACTAAAACTTTTCCGTCTTGTTTTGAAACCTGAAAAAGTTTTAGTTCTTTTTTTGGAACTAAAACTTTTTCCATCTTGTTTCGAAAACTGAAAAAGTTTTAGTTCTTTTTTTTTGGAACTAAAACTTTTTCCATCTTGTTTTCAAACCTGAAAAAGTTTTAGTTCTTTTTTTTGGAACTAAAACTTTTTTCCGTCTTGTTTTGAAACCTTAAAAAAATTAGGTGTTTTTTGTTTTTTTTTCGCGTCTGGCGCAGGCACTGTATGTACTATGTACTGTATTTTTTGTCGGCGCCTTCGGCGCCCTAAATATTTTAGAACGGTCATAGAGGGGGGGGGCAGGGCGGAACTACTGTTGCAGAACAAAAAAAGAACAAATACAATATGCTAAAGTTAGCAGCGCTACCGCATCAGCCCATTGGGACCAAAGGAAACTTTATTCGGAAATTGAAAGCCAAACACAAAAATGTAAATCTCCCGAGAAACCCTAAGCCCTAAAAGACGAAAAAAGGGCAGCGTGATGTTGACATCGTGATGTTGAAGTGGTCTACCACTACTTTTACATCATCTGACAATGACACTGCAACTGCAACTGCAGCTGCAACAACAACAACAACAACGAACCTGAATCTGAATTCAGAAGAAAAAAACTGAATTTTGGAATCACTGCGTCTCACTGCCCATCTCTCCATTCAGTCATGATTTACATAGATTAGTTTTACAATTTACAAAGGTTCAATTCATTGACATATTGCTTCAAGCCTTCAACCTCAAGGCTTCGGGCTTCAATCTTCAAGTGGCTTCAAACACACTTGCTTTTTGGCAGCAAACTCAAACATCTAGGACAACCACACAGTGTGTCCAAAAATCTCTCAAACAAAGAAGAGAGGAGGGACGTGTGGAACCCTAAGATGGCAATCGCTAGACAGAGCAAGGAAAACTTAAAACTTTCAAATACACATGCTTCCAAGTGCGGAAGTTCAACACCCAAATGGAAGTTTCCAGAGCGTGAGCAAACCAGCAAGCAAAGGCAGCGCAAGCACGACGCAGCACCACGTAACACCACACAATGTTTGAGCGCACCGCACATTCAGCGCTAACTATTTGCAACCAAAAGCAATGATGTTTGTCCACTTTTGACAATGCTGATTCGCTGCTAGGTGCAAGAAAGCCACAAAATTGTCAAAAGTGGCAGTTTTTTTGTTCAAAAACAAAAAAATCACTTGAGGTTCAAACAAATAAAAGTCAGTCATTCAGTATATCATGTTCATGGCACCATTTTTTTCCTCACAAGTCATGGTTGTAGTTTGATGCACTTAGATGTTTGTGCTTTGCTTTGTAAGTTTCAGCCAAATTGGCCAGGTTTTTGATACATGTTTGGAATTTCCTCGCGTTTAATCATGTCATTTACATGCCAAAGAAGGAGGAATCAATGGTCGAGTGTCTTTCAGCCAAATTAATTTGATGACATGTTTCACAGAAATGGCACAAAATCCCGAATTTTGTGTGTTTTTCTTGAAAAACCTGGATGTTCCTCGCTGCAAAACACAGAAATCACAACATTCAATAATTGCCATCATGGTGTTTGGTCGACTGACTCTGTTCAGTGGCATGTGCCATGTTCAGCACCAAAAACTGTATTTTACCGCCATTTCTGGCATTTCCATGAAACTCATCATGCCAGTTTGAAAAAGAAAAAGCCACATTGATCATCCTGTTGAATTCAGAGATAGCAAGCACATTCATATGTTATATGATTTTTGCCCAAAAATGCCTCAAATTGGCCTTTTTTAGCTGCAAAATGCTGTTTTCGGCACCAAAACAGCCGAGCTTCGTAGATGACACTGTGTGTTTAACCTGTTGACAAGCTGGCAAAAAAGGGTGCAACCCTTGGGCATTCACCCCTGCAGCTGAAAACCTAAAATTCTTTTTTCCACCTGTTGGCCCTTTTTTCAACCATACCCCCCCTGACCCACGAAATTTGGTACCTGAAAATAAACAATTTTTGATGGAAACTAATCGTCCAACCCTATTTGGCAGAGTCTATATTAATTTACTGGAGGGTAGTTTGAATTAGGATGATGATGATGATGATGAATATTATGTTGGATCTTGGGATTCTCACTTCTGGGACAACTCCAAATTTAGATATGCCACCTCCATATTCCTTGGTTATCATGGTTGTATGGGGTCTACTTAGGCTAATCGGGACCACTACAGCCACAAACATGCAGGATAAACATACAATGGATAATTCACACACAAAGATCATAATTGGTTCACATCTCTATTTCAAGAGTATGTTACCTATAAAATTGGGGCTTAGTACGGTCCAGTGTGGGAATCCGAACCAACGAGTAGACATCATTACATCATGTTTAGTTGTTAGGCATTCAGATGATCACGGATAGAGCCGTAGACCAGTTCTGTTGCAGAGAATCACAGACCTCCCTCAAATGCATCAAATGTGTTTACTCTCCGGTAATAAAATATTGCTATAGCTGGAAAATCCCCCAAACCTATGGGCATTTAAATTGGAAGATCATCTATCAATGAAAGATTTTATTGCCTTGTTTGATTCCCAGCATTTTGTTCTGCATCTTTGAACCTGCTTTCCCATCCAATGAAATCCGCTGAGAAGACCGCCGGGCTCAAACTGATTCATCGAGGAACGGATCATCAAGTTGTGCAAGGATCCCAAAACAGGTACAGTAGACAACTTTTCCCATCTTTTCCCTGAAAATTTTGGATCTGTGTGACTTTGTGAGGACTCCAATACCCATGTGCTCCATGAACGAAATACGCAGCATCAATACGCCCCAATGTAGATATTATATATAATTATGTGTGTATATATATATATATATACATATTGTGTGATTATAACATGTGATATCTTCAGCCAACATCAGTTGAAGCCCAGCTCCCAGGCTCCAGAAAATCACGTGGTGCATGTGGCTCCGCTCATGGAGGATGGACGTGATAAGTGGGCACGAGACCTCAGAAAAAACGTGAGGAGTACAACGGTATAACATTGTATTATAACCTATTTATCTGGGTAAACATGGAATGATGGTTAGCAGGGAAAACAATAGGGAAATCATCCCCAAATGGCCCAACTATTCAGGTTTGTGAAATATTATAGTTTACCCAGGTAACATTGTATAACCTATTTGTGTGAAGGATTTGCATATGTCTGCAAATGCGATATACAGTGCAAATAGCAATATATTATCATAATATATATATTATTGATTATGTGCGTTAGGGATATTGATTATTTTCATTTATTTTCTAGTTTCAGACAAGCCATCAAACCAATGATCTAAGTTTTGAGATACCCTACTCATGACCAGTTTTGCAGCTCTGGCACGCAGACTTTGACCCACACCTCTTTGCTTGCCCATTGACGATAGCTTTTGGTGCTTTGCCTTACCATATAGAACACATGGGATAGACATGGATAGAATGTCCTCTTTGAATAGGTAACTTTTTGATTGGGACCCCAACATGCCTTCGTCACATGATCCCACAGCATCGCCAGGTTCCAGTACACCCTGTGGATTCATTGAGTGAAATGGTATCTGATTTGTGGTTGCCATACCCAGAGCTGGAAATGGTCATTAATCTGGAAGCCGAAAGCCACCAAGCGTCTCTTCCAACCCATATTGGAGCTCCTATTTTTTGGCTCGCTCAAAAAGTTAGCGAGATCGGCTGCATCGGCTGACAAGGCCTTCACCAACAGCTGCCATGGTATGTCACCAAAGAATTGCTTGTCTGACTCCATCGGCCACCGATATTTGCGTCGCGCTGAACCTCCGCAGTTTCTTGGCCAAATTGTTGCCGGCGCAGGTTGAGATGCCCATGGGTTGAAAGCATCCCCGTGGCAATTTCCCCTCTAGAACTGGTGAACCTGTGCATAGTTTAAACTGAAACGATGTTTTTAATGTATTGGAATTTTAAAATTGATGTCAGGCTAGTCATTTGGGTTGGTCTGAGCATTTTATTGGCACGGTAAATCCTGACTGATAATTTTTAACATGTTAAAATGCCATTCTCATTTTATTGCAAAAAAAGTCTGTTTGGAGCATTTTATTGCAGAATGGAACCAATGCTTTTCCAGGATCATTTTATATCGATTTTTATTGGGCATGTCATTTTAGATCAGCGAATTTTAAGGAATTTGAAGGAATTCTAAGGAATATTAGGGAATTTTAAAGGAATTATAAGGAATATTAATGAATTTTAAAGGAATTATAAGGAAATTTAAGGAATTTAGAGAGTTTTAAGGAATTTTAAGGAATCTTAGAGGATTTTTAAGGAATTTAAAGGAATTTGACGGAATTTGAAGGAATTTGGAGGATTTTTAAGGATCTTTAATGTTTGTAAATTTTAGAGGATTTTAAGGAATTTTAAGGAGTTTTTTTTGAATTAAGGAATTTCAAGGTTTTTAAAGGAATTTTAAGGAATTACCACGAAAGAATGCCACCGTATTTTGTTGCTATAAAATGCTATAAACAAAAAAACACTTAATATTTGGGCACCTTCACTCTAAAATACCCCTATATCTAAAAAGAATTTCCTGACCCCTTTTTAAAGAGGCGTTTCTGAGGGTCTTCGAAATTGGATGAAGTTGGATGCAAATTCGGGCATGAATTTTCTGGCAAGGCATTTTATTGCAGAACCAGTTTTCATTATTTTTGTGCATTTTAAAGCCTGAGGCCCTATGCACAAAAGCTAGACCGCTCTAAAACTCCTGCACAGCTTCACATAATGAAATGGAACCCCGATTTGAAAGCAACGATTGAAAAGGAAAACGATTGGTTTATAAGTTATAAGCATGATTAGCCACGAAACAACATGTGGTTTGCGTTTTTTTCAGATGTTTTCAAACATGTTTTTCCCGAATGCGTAGCAAGGGTTCCCGTTTCACTCTGGGGGTCTGGGGGTTGAGGGTGTGTTCGCTCGACGTTGCGTTTACGTCCGCAACGGTTCGCAACCGTTCGCAACCGTCCGCAACCGTTCGCGTGAGGGCCGTGTTGCCATGCCTATGGTAAGTTCTGCAAAAGGGGTCACTTTTGGAGGTTTCCAGCGTCGCGTAGCTTCGTTTCGCATGGCAGGCGTGGCACTTCGTGACATTCAGGCGTGTTTCGTAACGTGTCGAAAGTCGTATTGTGCGGCGCAATACCCCTGAGGATCGAAGTAGACAAATAGGGCAGTATCGGCAAAGTAGGTCCCACAAGGGTACTTTTCTGACAATGCCCAAAAACATATACTTATCGGATGTTTATATATATATATATGTTTATCGGATTTTTGTCGGATTTTCCTGGATGTCTAGGCAACAGCAATGATTAAAAGACCCAATATGTCAAAATTTGTTAGGATCTACTTTTGGGTTGTGCGTGACAGACCGTGACGAACCCGTGACACCCCGTGACGAATGCATATTTTCTTACAAAAAATGTTGACTTATCGGAAAACGACCGTGACAGGCCGTGACAGCCCGCGACAACCCCTTCAAAACCAGATCTTCATGGATAGACAAAAACACATGGCTTTGAGATTCTTGGTATTGCTCTGAATCTGATTCCCAATTTTATCGGAAAAACACGAGTTCCGTTAAGTATGGGAATTTGATGCACTTACCACCCTTTAACCCCTAAGTAGCTTAAAAACAACTACTTTCTGATAAGTGAATTTATAGCACCATCTTTTGATCCTTAGGGTACTTTTGCGTCGTTTTCAGAAGATGCGATGCAGTTTTCGCGGCAGGCGCAGCACTGTGGACGTGTCCATCTTCATTTTGCGTGGCATGCACTTTAGACGTGTCTTGTGGCAAACTCCGTGGCAGGCTTGGCGTTTGTGAGGTGTGCTGAAAATTGACAGAGGCCTCACACGAAACATCGATTTTGAGGTTGCAAATTTTCATGTTCTAAGGAAAAGTCGTAGGAAAACATCGATTTTGAAGCTACAAAGTGTCAAAATTGGAGAAAGTCTCGCACGAAATGCTCGTTTTGATGCTCCAACATGTCTCGTCTCGAGTCTCTGGTTTTCCTGTGGCCTTGCAGTGTCTATGTGGGAAGCTGCAAAACCTATCCTGTTTCAAGGTGTCAAAGCAAGTTGTAGTATGGTTTTGCGGGGCATGCGTGGCAGGCGTGGCACGTCGCGACATTCTCATGTGTCTGCAAACGTGTCGATTCTTTTTTTGTGTGTGGCAGGCGCCATACTTTTGCAAAGTTTTCATTCGTCAGATGAGTTGCATTTTTCGTGTTAGGCTCAGCACTTTGGAGACCTCCATCGTCATTTTGCGTGGCAAGCGCAGCACTTTAGACGTGTCGCGTTGCGTGCTCTACACTCCACACTCCATACTTTACACTTTACACTCCACACTTTGCACCCCACCCTCTTCCACATTTCACAGTACCTAGTGTCTGCACTCTACACTCTACATTCCACACTTTACATTCCACACTCCACACTGTAGACACGACACTCCCCACTCTACACTCCACACTCCACACTCTACACTCCACACTCCACACTTTACACTCCACACTCTATACTTTACACTCCACACCTTACACGTTACACTCTACACTTTCAAATCCACACTTTAAAACCCACACTCTACACTCCACAATTCACACTCCACACTATGCACTTTACACTCCACACTTTACACTATACACTCCACACTTTACACTCTACACTTTACACTCCACAATCCACACTTTACACTCCACACTCTACACTCCACACTCTAGACACGACACTCCCCACTTTACACCCGGCACTCTACACTCCACACTTTACACTTCACACCCCACACTCTACTCTTTACACTTTACACTCCGCACTCCACACTCTACACTTTACACTCCACACTCCGCACTCTACACTTTACACTCCACGCTTTACACTCCACATTCCACACTTTACACTAAACACTTTACGCTCCACACTCTACACTTTACACTCCGCATTGTACACTTCACACTCCACACTCTACACTCCACACTTTTACACTCCACACTTTACAATTTACACTTTACACTTGACACTCTACACTATACACTTGCACTCCACACTCTACACTACACTCCACACTATAGACTTAACACTCTACACTCCGCACTCTACACTCCACACTCTACACTCCGCACTTTACACTCCACACTATACACTTTACACTCCACACTTTACACTTTACACTCTACACTTTACACTCCACACTCCACACTCTACACTCCACACTCTACACTTTACACTCCACACTTTGCACCCCACCCTCTTCCACATTTCACAGTGTCTGAAGCGCACTGGATGTACAAAACTGTTTAAATAACTTGTCTCACAAAAGTGTTCTACGTGACTGCATTCGGGTTCGTGGGCTGCATCTTGTTTTTTCAACTTTTTATATAGCAGATTTTTGTGACACGGTGCTTGGCCAAGTGCAAGTACCAGGGTTTTGACGAAGTCATACATATGCCATATATCAATAATCATATAGGATAGTGGAAATCTATGGGTACCCCTGCAAAGCACCAAATAGGCAAATAGGGCTGGGTTTATGTCAACCTTTACTTTTCGGAATCACCAGCCACCTTATCAATGTAAAGTTGGTGCACAGAGTTTCCACCGCCACCAAGGATATATTGTGGGCACCACGCATGAATCCAAGATTTGCTTAGTGCGGACACGACCAGTGTACGTCTTGCTGAGAACGATGATGCACTAAAACTAGTTGTGGTTACAACCAGTTATTTTGAATTGGACAATTTTTGCAATTCAACTAATGGGTCTACCGTATTTTGTTTCTCATCCGGATCATCGCTGAAATGGATCTCAACATCTCGATTGCTTCGTGTAGAGAAGGCCTGTTGTTTGAGGCTGACCGACTCGCTCATCATTTATTTCCCCTTGAAAACTCACATGGATGCCCTGCAACCATCGTTTTTAAGGGATCATATGATCATTGAAATACAATGAAATACTGATTGGCGTTTTTTTGTTCTTCACGTTCAACCTCATAATTGGGATGATGGTCCCATAAAGTGATGAAGTGATGGAACAAATCCATACTTTAGGTTACATAAAGGTGGAAAAATTGCCTGCCATGCCTTTCCCTGCCAATCGCATGTTTGGGTTTGTCCTGTCTTTGTTTTTGATGCTACTTGTAGGAGCGGATCTCTCTGCCCTGTTTTTTTTCTTTTGACTCCAACCCGAGTTTCCTTTCTTTGATGCTCCGTCTGCATGGTTGCGTGCTGCGGGTGCCGAACCGCCTGCCTTGTGTGTCTAATATTTCTTAGGTTCCCCGTTCCAATTTCAGGACGGTATCTGTTAGTATCACTGCAGAACCAAGGAATGTGATGACTTGGCAGATGCAACTGGTGGTCCAACAATCCTGACGAGAGATGCCATCAGGGAGCAGAACATCTCGTCACAAGCAGACATCCACAGAAAGGTACAAGATCCCTGTACTGGTTTAACAGTTGTTTTGATAATTGTATGTTGGATTATGTTCTGTTATGTGACTATGTGATATGATATATATATATATACATAAAACGGTATGATACCTGATATATGATATATGATAAACAATGATAAACAAAAGTATATATGATCTAAAATGATATGTATATGTGTACATATATATATATACACATAGATGTCATATTCGAACATATACAAATACACAATGTTATGTAACGCATGTAAGAATCTATAACATGTTTTTGGGCACCCTATGACACGCTTCATTTCTTTGATCCAAACGATCTGGTAATCCAACATGACTGGCTGCAAAACTGATGATCACCTATACTAAATAAACGGTTTTTGTTGTTTCTCATCATCGCCACAGGAATCATGTTTTGTATAATTTATATATATATAGGATATGATATTAAGTAATATAAGATATATGTACTTGTTTTGAGTACTTTACTTACACAACTGTACATTGCACCTTTTATATAATATATATATACATAAACTTTGGCTTACCACTTTTTTATACTTTTTTGTGGGGATGTTCCAATGTTCCTTGGAGCAGCTGCTTGCGGATTCAGGAGATGTCACAAAAGGCTACAGCTTCGGAGTGCAACGTGGATGACCTTCCTTCGTTGTATCCTATTGCTGCTGGTGAGTGAATTTTAGAGAAAGCTTCCTGTATATACATATGTATATATGTATGTATGATTAATTATACTGTTTATATACATTATGTATATTATGTGTAGTTTGTTTGTATTTTATAGACAAGACATGTATATATGTATATATATATATATTATGTTATATTAAAAATTATATATTTATATATGTGTTCTTTTGTCTCAACCACTGCGGTGGACTAGCTTTAGATAATCAATACAGCAAAATTACTCACTGACTCAGATGGTTTTGGACGGTTGTTTTTTTTTCGATGTTTGTCGGTTTGTTCTTGAACTCACTACCGTGAACATGACCGTAAACCATCAAACAATTGGGTAATAACAATCTGTTCAAACAGCCCCAGAGTCATTGAGTGATTTGAGTGTCCCTTTTGTTTTTCCCATATTTTTTTCTATGGTTTTCACCCACAGGATGGAGAAGCCTTGCAGAAGGCGGAGCCTACTCTGATCATCACCCAAGATCTCTGTCAGGCGATGCTGAGATTCATGGTGGATCTTTCCATGGCGAAATGTTAGTCATAACCAGAGGGGTTTCCATGGCGGATCCATTTTTTTTCGACAGATGGACTGAGATGGACTGGGATTCCAGCCATCAAGTGAGGTTTTGATGGCATTCCATTTGAGTTGCGCAAAAAACGAATGTTTAAGACTTAGTTGTTTGCTGAATGTCACTAAATTTTCATGCTGCCACTTCTTTGTTGGTTCCACTATCTCGGTCTAGTATATAGCACAATTTTGGGAGTTCAACTAATTATACATATATATATATATGTATATGTATATATGTATATGTATATATGTATATGTATATATGTATATGTATATAGGTATATGTATATATGTATATGTATATATGTATATGTATATATGTATATGGGGCTCAAAAACATTCAAATTTCCCAATTGCCCTGTGGATTTTCGCTTAAACCAATCAATGGAAGACCCAGAATTCTCCAATCACTTGACAGCACCTTGACCACCTTGACCTTGCAGGTGTGTGCCCCCTCCTCTCGAAGTGTGGCAAGGATCTATGAAGGTTCTCCGTCGAAGGTTCCTTTGGTCCAAGAGTCTTAACAAATTGGTGTTCCTAAAGTCGAGGACCTCAAAAAGCCTCAAAGGCAGCAAATTTCTTTGCAGGAATCCCTTGGTCAGGGTGATTCCCATTGTTGTTTTCGATCAAATGCCACATGGGTATGCTATGCCCAAGGCACAGGTCTAGTTCATGTCACTGGACTGCCATTTTTGGTGATCAGCATGAACTGCAGTCCTGATTTATGAAAGGATGGCATGTTGGATTTCCGGAGAGAATTTTGGAAGGTAGCTGAAGGATGCTGGAGGCTCAATATTTCCAAGAAATTGAATGGAAGCAGAATGATCATCAAAAGGAAGCAGCTTGCTGCTCATTTGGCGAATCCTACCAGGGCCTCTACGAACTGTTTCAACAGGGTCATGCTATGGTCCGTCCATGGTCCGTGGTTTGTTTTTGTGAGGTTTCAAGCTATAGGAGTGAAGGGGATGACACGAGGAAATAGGGACTTAACAACCAGGGTTTCGATCGGCTCTTGCTCCAAGCTGTGGTGAGGGGCCATTTGAGAAGTTAAAAATACCATTGTTGATTGGTTTCTGTAGTAGGTTATACTGCCTGGTTTATTGGGGATAACCCATTTGATGGGGGATACCCATTAAGCCATTAGTTCATGAAATGTGATAGGGCTACAACTTTTGTGGCTCACTTGATCCTAGAAGGTGGTTTATAAACCCTATCAACAAGTTCGATATATCCACTTGTCAACCAGGTTATAACATGTTATAAACCAACTTAGCGAACAAACTGGGGCAGCACCTTGTCTGAATTAAGGTCGAAGTTCTTTCCCTGAGTCCCAACAGTCTGGAAGACGTTCTGGAGAACATTCAATTGGTGGCGTCAACGGTGGGCGTTGCAGAAGTGGGAAAGCAGCTGGTAGATGAAATACGGAGACAGCTGAAAGAGCTTCATGTGACTTGGACGCTGAGGCTCAAAGGAGGAAACATGAATTGATAGTTTCATCAAATAAGATGGACATTCATGAGATCAATTATAGATGTATTTGTCATGATTTGTGACATATATATATAATTATATATTACAAATGGATAACTGGTTGGTGGTTTCAAACATTTTTTATTCTCCATCATATATGGGATAATCCTTCCCATTGACTAATATCTTTCATGGTTAAAACCACCAACCAGATAAATCAATAATTATATATATATATATATCTATCATGCACGTGTGTGTGTGTGTTTGTCATGCTTTGGGGCTAATGATGCTTGCTTATCTTTTCAAAGCCACCTACAAGCATGATAATCGGGGATGCAGGAAGCACGTGAGGATAGCTATGCTATTTATTGGAAGGGGTGAAGAGAAGAGTTCCACTACCCATGATGTTTTCCAGTAAAAAGCTGATGGGTTCCCGTAGAGAAAAAAAACTGCAAAATTCAGGGAGTACCAACATGCATCTCATGTTTGGAATAACCAAAATTCAAGGACATGTTCAGTCTTTGAGTCTTTAAATATCTTTTGTTGTTCAATCTTCCAGCTATCTTTTTTTTGGGTTGCTCAATGTTGACCCACTTGTACCAAACAAATATTGAGAAATGGTGTTCGTGTATGCAATACTGAGCCCTTTCCCATGTGCCCTTTATCCTGCGCCTTTTCAACGACATTGGGCTGTGGGCGAGTGGGTCTATGGAGGGTGCTAATTTCGCTCATTTCCGCAGGGGTTCAAACGGCTCCAAACGGCTCCAAGCCATTCCAAGCCACTAGACAGTCGTTTTTTGGTAGGAAAACATTGAAAATCAGCACGACAAAGAGATGATTGAACATCAGCCAGAAAGCAATAGGTCAATCCGGCATGGTCTAGTGTTGGCTCACAAGTATTGGGGGGTTTACCTAGGTTTACTGCGAATTGTTGTACCCTCCGGCAAACATGGCAATGGAAAAACCTCCATGTTTGAGGCTCCTTTTTATATGGGATATTCCCATTGCTACCTTTGATTAGCAGAGGGTATTTGTCTATTCCCACATGGAAGACCATGTCAACGAATCACTTGAAGCCATCATAAGCCATCGAAACCATTGCTCTGAGTCCCTAGATTTTCCCCTTGCAGATCTGGGTGTGTCACAAAAAGGGATAGGACATGATAGGTTTATAATCTATAAGCTGTACCTGGAGCCTCCAAGTACCGAAATGCAGTCATATAATGTCATATAATCTATTAAGATGTCATCTCTATCCATCATTGTGGGACTTTGAACCATCCATCATTGGGTACGACTTGGAGGGTCTGAGACAAGGGATGAAAACATGACTGTCATCCCCTGAGTCAGGATACAATTCTTGAACACCGCGATGCACGCAAGCCTCGCATGCGCCTGGGCAAACCTGGAAATGACACACCATTTTTTCTCGGAGCCCTTTTTTAATAGCAATGTTGTATTTTGGACCGGTAAACATATGCACATGATTCACTGATGTACCTATTTTATCCTATTTTTCATCATTATTTCTGGTGGACGATTAGGATTCTCAGCACTTCTCAGTGAACAAGAGGATCCAAGTTTGATTAAGAGAGTCTCTTTTGTTGACCCCACCAATCAGTATTTGGATGCCGCATAAGTGGATGGTATTGTGGACCAGTAGTGTTTTGAAACCATTTTTTGGCTCCGCATAAGTGGATGTTATGTTATTTTCAATTGTGTGTTTCGCTGTTTGTATTCCCGTAGATGTCCATTCTTCTTGGCCATACCACCCGCGATTTTATGTGCAACTACCAAAAACACAACAGGAAAAAAAAGAGCAGCCTGGCGGCTTGGATGCACAATGAATCCACTGCAGATCTGAGGTTTTTATTTGAATGGCTGTCACCACCCTTTGATGCTGGACATTGGATGCCAGACATGATGCAGTGGGCCTGTGTGGACCATGCCTGCAGCCGGAAGGCTGATCGAAAGTCCAAGGATTGGCCGGGGATGGTCATTTGCCCAGAAATGGTTTGGGGCCTTTGGGGATACATTGCAGTAGCCTCGGACAGTTGGCTTCGAACTCTCCAAAACCATCGCTTCCCATGTAGCTGAAGTCACGATAGTCAAGCCCATCCTTGGATGGTTTAGGTATCTTTTGCGAAAGATGACCTTAATCGCCTAAATCTTTCAGCAAAGCTTCTGGGTCCTGCAAGGAGTTGACTTGGCAAGAAGTGGCAGACACCAAACCAACGACTCTGCTTGTGGCCTGCTGCGGTTTTGACTTGGAACGACTCCTGGGGTGAAAAGATGGGAGTCGTGAGAGACCAGAATATTATCCCCAATTTGATGGCCGTTATTTGCAAACTTGAGGCTAGAGATTGAAACTGAGAAATATATGTATATATTAACTAAAATAAGAATAATAAATAATAAAAATATAATAATAATAGTAATAATAATAATAGTAATAATAATAGTATATATAAGTACAATTATATACATACATACATAGATACATACGTACGTATATATATATATATATTAGGGCCCGGTATGGCCTCTTTATCAGCTAGTTTCTGACGTATACACTTTGGAATTTCAGAACCTATAAGTATATCAGCTGAAACTATATAGAAACTATATTGAAATTTCAGAAACTATATTGTGAAAAATCTTGCCAATGTTGTCTGGATACTCACATGTCACTTGTCACACAGTGTATAAAACAATATTTGAATAATATATTCAGTAAATAAATAACATAATTATTGAAAAAAAAACGGTCTTCCAAGTCTAGCCTTCGGGCCATTGAATTTTGATTCATTCATCTCCTTCTGAATATCACAAGCCAATTCGGAAAATCAATGGGGCGTAAAACAAATTGAAGCCACATATACATCATCACCTGGTGTCATGACACACTATTATTTGGACCACAGACACATAAAGCCAACCTGCTTCTGTCGGTTGAGGTGTGATAAGTGATATTTGACATGTCGTGTCATGTCACCTTGTCATATGCCATATCAGAGCCATATATCATATCATGAATCATATCATGTTGTTCATGTTATATCATATCATAATCATGTGACAAATGAGTCAGTCGTATCAATGTTAAAGATAGGTTAGAGTTTAAAGACTATAGATAACTATGACTATTGTTCTAACTACGACTATAACTATATAGTTATATATAACAGTCTTTGATGTGATTTGTGACCTATGGTCCATATTCTATGATATATGATTCTTTGATACGATGAAATGATATGACGTATGATTCTATTGTTTATTAAATGTTGTTCTTTGGGATTGCCTGATGTTGCAGTTTGTAGGCCTTGCGCGACTGTATGATGTGTGTTCAGTGCTTATGTTGATTCATGTCCATTCATAGGTTCATGTCAATTTCGGGGTTTGTGAAAAATAAACGAGTTTCTGGACACATGAGATGGGGTATCGCATTCGGGCCAAGATGTAAATCACTTCCATCTGGAATGTGCAGATATTTACTCAGCAACATTCTAAATCTTGACCCTGGAAACCTTAACCCTTCAGCCAATATAAATAAATAAATAATTAAATATATATATATGTGTGTGTGTGCGTTGTTTCATGGCATTGGCCCAGCCCACCGCCCCTGATGAGCGGTTTGGTTTCGATGAAACCTAGCAAATTTCACAAGCCCCCTGATTCTACACAGCCCCAGGGTTTCAGCATAGATCATGGCAGTTTCATTATATTCCTGTGATTGCTGTATGTATGTTGCATGTTTTCTGATTTCTATTGAAACGAGGCTCCCAGAGACGGTCTCAGACGGTCTGAGACGGTCTCCAGCTCTCCTTCAGCCTTAAAGCCTAGCTTTATGAGATTTTCTGCGAGCCGCAGACTGGAAAGCATCATATTTTGGTTTCCTGCTTTAATCCTCACTTAATCCTCAGTTTGGAACTTCGCCCAATCCTCATTCCTCATTTTTCCGGAACCTCACCAAATCCTCATTCCTCATTTAGTCCTGATTTTGGAATCTCACCAAATCCTGATTCTTCATTTAATCCTCAGTCTGGAACCTCACCAATCCTCGTTCTCTCACCAAATCTTAGTCCCTCATTGAATCCTCCCTCATTGAATTCTCTTGCCTAGAATCTCACCAAATCCCCATCCCTCATTTAATCTTCATTCTAGAACCTCATGAAATCGTCATTCCTCAATTGATTAATCTTCTTTCTTGAACCTCATGTAACATCCTCATCATGTATGCTTCACTATCCTCATTTCTCATTGAATCTGGATTCTGAAATTTCAAAACGCCATCACGCATTCCATATGAATTTTGATTGTAAGTATTCACAATATATTCTATATATCATATTTCTCATGATTTTATGATTTACATCATGTTTTTAAATTTTAACATCAAAAAATATGATGACCCATGGTAGCAAAAAAAATGTGTGCTGAAACCGTCAAGACCGTTTCCTACTGTAAAAGTCATTAGGGTCAGAAACCGTCGCGACCGTTTCACACTAAACCATCCAAAAAAGTAGAAAAAACGGATATAGTCTGAGACCGTCTGAGACCGTCTCTGAAAAAGGCCCCGACATGTTATAGTATGAAACCGTCGAGACCGTTTCAGACTATCCCAAATCGTACTATCATGATACAGTCGGAAACCGTCAAAACCGTTTCTACAAACACCATTTTCGTGACATTGATAATACATACATACATACATACATTCATATATATATATATATGTTTTTTCATTGTTTTTCACATTGTTTTCGGGGTGTGCATTGCAGTCACGAATCATGAATCATGAATGTGAATTTGATTTTATGCCTATGTTTAATTATACTAATTGTAACCTTTCACAATCATCACCATCCCATACCATACTATGAAAACAACATGATTATAATATGATCTCTTAATACAAGTGGCCTATTTTCCCCCTGAAATCTCCATATAGTTTCTATATAGTTTCTATAAAATTCCATATGGTTCCCATATAGTCTCAACTGCCAAAAATGCCCACAGACAAAGAGACCACACTTGGTTACAATATATATATATACTCCGTTTTCAGTTTTCAGACCTCATTTTTGCCGCCATGTAGTATGAACATATAGGAGCAACATGAATTGGCATGTATATAGTAAAGAATTTAATGGAACGAACTGAAATGTTTCACGGCTTGGCTGCCTCAGAACACCAGCATTTGTTGTTATTGTTTAAAACATTTTGCCTTTGAACCAGCTGTATCTTAATTTCGTTCATACCAGCACATGGTTTTAGACATGTTCATAATACAATTATCTTCCCCATTCACGTGCTAAATTAAGGAGATGGGATAAACGCTCCAACTTCGGACAACATGTTTCACATCTCTCATCCCAACTCATCCCAACTCATCCCAGATATCCTAAAAAAACATAATCATTTATATTCATTTATGATATTATAATCAGAATCAGTGATTCTTCATGATTCTTCCCTTCTCTCCCTAAGGAAATTACCAGGATGCCCTCTCCGTCTCCTCCGACCTCGCCTCCCTGGGTGTTTCGGCGGCCTTTGCCACCAACGGCGACCAGTTCTTTGCGCGGCCAGGGCCGAAGCTGCTGACGGGCGCCGTGCTGATGGCGCTCTGTGGCTATTGGGATCAACCCAAGGTGGGCTCCAAATTTGGTTACCAGCCATAGAAAATTGGTAAGGCAATGCTAAACTATCACCCAGTTTACGGTTTTTATGGGTGTAAACCATGAACATATGGGGTGATTGATGATTGTTTTACTCTCATTATCTCGTAACATATGTCTTGGAATGTCTACAAAACGGGGTAGCTTGGGCCAAATCATAGGGAAGCAATATGGGAATCCCATTGTTTCCAGGGAGAAATATATGCAACACTTTTATTGATATGTATGTCGTTTTCCCCATTCAAAAACATGGTGAACATGGTGATTTAGACCCAAGCTACCGACGATTCATAGTACAGGCATCCATCAGCAATATATATGTATGGGGACATGAACCAGAAGCTGATTTGCCTAAAATATGATTGCCCAAAAGTGAGTTTATATCCCTGGAATCAATTTCTTTGGCAAGACTTTATGGGGATTCGCTGACAGACAGCATCCGCTGGCAGAGGTGCTGGATGCGATCCGAAGCCGACCCTTTGGGCTTGCAGCTACGCAGTACAAGCGGAGTCCTGGAAGTTGACTGATGGTAGGTCGATGGTTTGGATTTGACAAATGGAGCTTGTTTAAAAGATGTTTCATGTTTCTCTCTTTTTGTTTATGTCTGGGTTGGTGAAATTTGATGATGGGTTGGTTCTGCTTTTGTGTATCGGCCGGGCAAGGGGGAGTGTACTGGCATCTGTGCGGGAAGCAAATCCAAGGATTCCATTGGATACAGCAGTGAAGAGAAGGAAACTGGAGAGCGAAGCTGGATGGAAATTGATACTGGTGCTTTGTGTTCAGGTCCCAATTCCAAGCTTCTTGCGACAAACTAAAAAGTAAGGAAGCCATCAAATAGCAACTTGAATGAACAAATTTGAATACCAGTAGTACAGCACAAGGCGGTGGCGGAAGTTTCAAAGGGATGGCAGAGCGAATCCACTCATGGATCGACAGGTGGTTGGAGTTGTGCTTTTTGGAGTCGTTGCAGTGGTCACCTCAACCACAACTGCTCTGCTGGATGTAGTGTGGTGTGGTGTCGTGCGCTGTAATGTGGTGTAGTGCAATGTGGCTGTAAATGTATTGTAGTGTAGTTGAATTTGTAGTAGTTGTAGTTGTAGTAGTGGTAGTGGTGGTAGTAGTAGTAGTAGTAGCAGTAGGAGTAGGAGTAGTAGTAGTAGTTGTTGTTGTTGTTGTCGTTGTTGCTGTTGTACTGTTGTTGTTGCTGTTGTACTGTTGTTGTACTGTTGTTGTACTGTTGTTGTACTGTTGTTGTACTGTTGTTGTACTGCTGTTGAACTGTTGTTGTACTGTTGTGGTACTGTTGTTGTACTGGTGTAATGTTGTAATGTTGTAATGTTGTAGGTGAAGCTGCAGTAGTAGTTGTAGTTGTTGTAGTTTTAGTTGTAGTTGTAGTTGTAGTGTATAGTAGTGTAGTGGTGGTGTAGTGCGGTGAAGTGGAGTGTAGTGGAGTTGTAGTTGTAGCTGTACTTGCAGTGGTATTGTAGTGCAGTTGTAGCTTTAGCTATAGTTGATGTTGTTGTAGCTGTAGTAGCTGAAGTAGTTGCTGTAGATGCTGTAGTTGCTGTTGTAGTAGTAGTTGTTGTAGTAGCAGTAGTAGAAGAAGTAGCAGTAGCAGTAGCAGTAGCAGTAGCAGTAGCAGTAGCAGTAGCAGTAGCAGTAGTAGTAGTAGTAGTAGCAGTAGTAGTAGTAGTAGTAGTAGCAATAGTAGTAGCAGTAGGAGTAGAAGTAGGAGTAGGAGGAGGGGCAGGAGTAGGAGGAGTAGTAGTAGTAGTAGTTGTTGTTGTTGCTGTTGTTGATGCTGTTGCTGTTGTTGCTGTTGTTGCTGTAGTTGTTGTAGTTGCTGTGATTGCTGTGGTTGTTGTAGTTGTAGTCAGTGTAGTGGAATGAAGCGTAGTGTAGTTGAAGGTGTAGCTGTAGCTGTGGATGATGTAGCATTATTATTATTATTATTAGTAGTAGTAGTAGTAGTAGCAGTACTATTAGTAGCAGTTGTTGTTGTTGTTGCTGTTGTTGTAGTTGCGTTTGAAGTTGTAGCTGTAGTGCAGTGGTAGTGCTAGTGGAAGTTGTAGCTGTAGTGTAGTGTGGCTATAGTTGTAGCTGTAGTGTTTTGTAGTGTAGCTGTATATGTAATTGTAGTTGTAGCTGTAGTGGTAGTCGTAGTTGTAGTGTAAGGTAGTGTAGTTGTAATTGTCTGTCTTTCTGTCTATCTATCTAAGTCTATCTGTTTTTCTCTAATTATATTCTGTCTGTTTGTCTATCTATCCATCTCTCTGTCTTTCTTTCTATCTGTCTAGCCGCAAGCTTGAAAACGAAGCTATTCTGCGAGACTTCCTCAATTTTTGAACTTAACAACATTGAAAACTCCGCAATTCTGCGAGACTTCCTCAATTTTCGAAGTTGACAACATCAAAAACGAAACAATTCTGCGAGACTTCCTTCAAACATGGAAAGCTGAGTGCAGAGCTGATGGCCTCGTACCAATGCTTTTGCGATTTTTCCACTCCACCTGTCTAAAGTACTGCGCCTGCCACGAAAAAGTGATGCCAGGTCATACGAAGTGCTGCGCCTGTCACGCAAATCATCTCAGCAAACCTGAAGATCTGATGCTCCCAAATGCAACCTTTCTCAGGAAATCAGCGCCCGGACCTCTAACATCTCTGATGAACATGTCTCTTGCATTGCGCCTGCCACATGACATGCATCTTTCCAGATCCTCTTCAAATGTACCACGCCTGCCAACGTTTTTGGAACTGCCGCAAAACCTTCACGGTTTGCTCATGTGTGGCAAGGTGCAGAATCCCTTGTGCTTGCCACACAGAACACGCTTTAACGTCCCAAAATTGTCCCATCATGTGGTGCTTTTTTTACCTTTTGACTTCGAAATGTGCTTCGCGCCACAACGGCGCGCAAATTTCCATCTCTCATCCCGCCAGATGGCTCCGCACCCGCCGCTTCAGTGAGCCTACTTTTCTACCCTGCGGAGCCACAACTCATTGGAAAAACACAATGTTTCGCGACTTTTCCACCTCTTCGCGCACCTGCAACTTCTTTCTTCTGACTCTTTGTCTTCTCTGATATGTTTTCTTCTTCTCTTCTCTTCTCTTCTCTTCTCTTCTCTTCTCTTCTCTTCTCTTCTCTTCTCTTCTCTTCTCTTCTCTTCTCTTCTCTTCTCCGACTCTTCCCACTCTGCTTTTCAATACTTTTCATCTGTCCATGTTTGACTCCTAAACTTCCTTCGATGATTTTAAGCCAGTGGATGTTTGGGATATTGCCTATTTATCGTGTGACAGCAATTTTCAAGTTTCAACCAGTTTTTTTTTCGTGACTTGCTACTACGTATCATCGGACTGGGCCGAGGACAATCTGGCACTTGGATTTGCCTGAGCATATGCTATCACATGGTATCCCCAAACCCAACTGGCCTTTTTTGGGAGAGATCCAATTTTTGTAACACCCTTGTAAGATCTGGTGACGCAGTTTGTCTCAGATATTGTACGCCACTCCTGCAAGGAAAGTGTTCCCGACATTGAAGATTTCTACAAACTTCACCAGGAGGCGAGGGTTTCAGAATGACACTGCTGCTGCTACGCGTTGGTTGGCAACGATTGGGTCAAATTGTGGTTGTCAAAACCAAAAAAAGATATGATCGATTAAACTACGATTTTTGATGCTTTGTGGCTTTGATTTTTGGTCAGGAACCCCAATTGAAGCTTTGCTTCACCCACAGTATGTAGTCTAGGGATGCCTAGGGCACTTTACCAGTCCATGACCATCAAAAATTGAGGAAACAAAATGATATTCCTTTTCCTCGTTGCCCTGTTGCCCCTGGCATTGTGCCTTCTTAGGCATGTGCCCGTGGCGACACGTTTTACACGGACCCTGCCAGCGGTTTTTTGGTCTTTACGGAAGTGGCGCATCGGAAGCGCGGCAAATGCTGCGGCTCGGGCTGCCGCCACTGCCCCTACAATCATGCCAACGTGCGCGAGGAGCAGAAACTGGTGCTTTGGGCCAACTAGTTGGGTAAGGTGATTCCACAAGAACAGAGCTCAGTTATGGGGTTGGAACCCCGTTGAACCAAATAGATGAATACCGCTTTAAAGCGCTATTATATCTATAGTGGTACTGGTAGGAAAGTCTAAGGGTCCGCTATGATTCCCTTGTGGTCAGTGGTATGTCGTCCAACGGATAGATCTGACATTGAGTACAGTGGACACGGAGTTTGGCCTGCAATTGTTCTATAGCAAAATCTGATTATTGTGCACCTGATGAGGATTCCCATCAAAAATAACTATGAACACGTTTCAACGTTCTACTAGCACGTCAGCCGTATAGGTGCGCATTCAGCAGCCTGCGATTCTGGCGCGGGGCACCAATCCAAAGTTCGCCCCGGATGCGGCGCCGGATTTGCGCGTGGTGTTTTTCAGCGGGGGCAAGGATTCCTTCCTGACGGCGCCTTGAACTTGAATGACCTTTCAGAAGTTGGAAGATGAATCAACCTGGAAACAGGTGTTTATCATAATATAATTTCGTTTATTATATTTTATTCTATTATAGTATAGTCTAGTATATCATGGAATATTTCAATTATATCATATTCAATCATATTATATCATATGAGATTTTATTGTCTAAGATTAAACTATATTATATTATATTGTATTAAATTAGATTCAATTATATTATATTATATTATATTTTTTAGTATTATATTGTATTGTATTGTATTGTATTGCAATGTATTATATATTATATTATATTATATTATATTATATTATATTATATTATATTATATTATATTTCATTATATTTTATATTATATTATGTTATATGTTTTTTAACATTCTATTGTACTGTATTGTATTGTATTGTAATGTAATGTATTATATTATATTATTTTATTTTATATTATATTAGTTTTTATATATCATGTTATATTTATGTTATTTTATTTTATTAATTTATTATATATTATATGTTGTTATAACAGTTTATCTTATTTTATTGTCTTATATTATATTTTGTTTTATGTTATTATATGGTATTATATGTTATTATATGTTATTATATGTTATTATATGTTATTATATGTTATTATATGTTATTATATGATATGTTATTATAGTTTGTTATGTCATAGCCTAGTATATTATACTATATCATATCATATCATATCATATTAAAGCATATCAAATCATATTATTGTACATTATATATATAAATATATATATATATATATACACAGTATCATATTTTTTCTGACTGGTGGCTCTCAACATTTTATACTTGTGATCCTCTTTAGGGATTAGGGATAACCTAATTCTTGTATAGAACAATATTTGTTGAATTGGGTCACAGCCTCCAGGCCTCCAGCCAAATTTTTGTTGTTTGTAAATGGACATACCGGGTTCTTCAAAAAAAAGCAGCCATCAACCAAAAGTTGCAACATCCACCGAAAGCCCCCGGACCCCCTGTCTCAATGTTGCTAACCATCGCTTCTCAATGGCCGGGGCAAGAATGGCTGTTTTTTTTTGAAGGCTCCGCGAAGCACTGCTGTCACACAACATTGAAATTGGGGTCAAGGGGTGTCTAACTTTCCTCGCCAGACTTCAAGTTGGTTGGCTGTTTTTTTTGAAGAACCCGGTATGGTCTGGCCTTCAGTAGTTGGGCCAGAACTTCCAAAATGCGGTTCCCTCGATCCCTCTTGCAACCTCCAGGAGACATCCAATATAGTCACCAAAATCACGGCATGTTCAAGCTTCACTGGCAACTTGCCTTCTGTGGTCCCTAGTGTCCGCTCCCACTTTCTATGGAAGTGCACCTCACAGCTGAATCCCTGACGCCCCAAAAGGTCCGCACTTTGGCCTCCGCGGGGCCCATGGGCCTAGTCCTGCTGACCACCTTTGATGCACCCAGCCGCGTCATAGCACATCAAGACATCTCGTGCCTGGGGCCGCCCTGGTGAAAGGTGTTAGTTGTTGGGTTTTGTTTCTGGCTGACTATGGCGCTACGGCCATGCCTCTATCCATCTCTATCCTCTATCTATGGGAATCCCCAAGAACCAATGATTCGTAAGCGCTACGAAGGGATGGCAGAAGGGAAATTATGGGGGTTCAAATGGGTCAAATGGCAGCGTGTTTGGGTGGGTCGAGCTGCACATGGGGCCCAGATTGGATTTCATTTTTTTGCATTAAACCATATTAAACCCTCATTTTTTTGTGATTGAAGTATGTGGCCAGTCTTGAGAATCACAGAATTGGTGCTGAGATATTTGAGATGTGCGCTTGCTGTTCTGGCATTGTGGGAGCTGTCCATGAAGAAAGCACCTGCTTTGGAAGGTTTTGATTATTCCAACAGAGGACAAACACCTGCTGTTCCCAGGCACTTAGTTTCACAACCTTCAATTGATATTAGGCTGGCCATTTTGGTCCATATTTTGATGTTGATCCTAGTACTTGATTGATATGTGTTTCGAAACTATGCTTACAGCTTGAACTTGTAACTTCTAACCGTTATATATAACCCAGACACAAGTGGGGTAAGCATAGATAAACCCCAATTGATAAGATGTTGGTTGCCACTTTCTGACTGAGATGCACGTCTGAGGATCGAGATAGCGCAACGGCAAGCGAAGCATTTGGGTTTGACACTGCTGGGAGTTCCGATGCACCGTGGAAGCAGCGAAAGCTACATCAGTCGCATTGGAAGGGCCTTGGATCTTCTGCAAACGGAGTTTGGAAAAAAAGTCGCCCGGCCAAGTAAACCACAGAAAACACTACGGATGATTTACATTGATTTACTGTACCCGTTAAAAATGGTGATTTCCATAGCTATGTTACTTTACCAAAGGGTGTATATTATAATATATATAATATATACACATACATCCAGTACAGAGTCAAGGTCAGGGCCCCAAGTTTGGAAGGGCTTGTTATGGCCCCAGCTTTCGAACTTGGGATTTCGAGGTAGCCATGGTGCAACCAAGGTCAAGAGCTTGGTTTTTGGCGATTTGCATTTTGGCAGAGACTGGATGGGCTTCCCCAACAGAATATGTGGTGGGAGGTCCGAAGTGCTGCGTGGTTTGTTGCCTGCCTATTATCACTATTATCACTATTATCACTATTATCACTATTATCACTACTATCACTATTATCACTATTATCACTATATTTATCACTATTATCACTATGTCCACTTTATCACTTTTGTTGGGGGTTGCTATGAATGGATAATTGCAGCTCGCTGGACCAGTCGTTACGCCGTGGCCGAGGCATTTAGATCACATTCGCAGCTGGAGAGAAACAGAGCTCAGCAAACTGGGTTTTCAATTGGAATTCCCCCTGTGGCACATGGATTACCACCGCTTGGAGGAGCGAATTCCAGTTGGGAGGATTTTAGTCAACTTCCAGAAGTTGAAAAGGTTGGTGCTTGCAATGACTGAAAAGAATCTGGTTTGATTTCCATCCGCGGTAATTACTTGGGAAGTGGATCCCAGTTGACTGAAAAAATCACCGGATTGCATCCCTTGTGACCAGCTGCTTTAGAGCACATGATACCAGACATTAGGCAGCCATACATAGCAGTGGAATTTGGACTCATCACGCTTTGTCACGCATGTGTGCATTACAGTAGCAATGCAGATCATCCATTTCCATTACCTATATGTGCCATGTTCAAGAACCTGTATTTTTCCACCCATATTTGGGGGAAGTCGTCAATCCATTCACTTTGGGATGTTTATACTCATGATGTTTGGATTCGCAATCTGGGATGGATGACAATGACCCGAAAATCCATAATATAAATCCCATATAATCCCATGTTAACTTGACCATGGCACATATCTTATATTCGATCAAAACGGACCCCAAGCTGCGGCAGTAAAATGATGCATATGATTTTGGGGTAGTGGTTGACCTGTCATGTTCCGATGGGGGATATTCGGAACACACCAAGTTCGGTCTGAAAGTTTAGGTGGAAAAAACATCATGATGGTTAATCAATGCTAATCATCATTCTCCGCATCAACATGGCAATTTTGGTGTATAGCCCATTTTCAGACATGCCCATCTGGTGCTCTTCAGTAGTATGGGAATCCAGCGAGTGGGGCATACTGTACATACCTATATCATGATATAGCCTATATCATCCTACTAGCCATTTGGGGATGATTCAAAGTAATTGACCCCCAAACCGATCTGGTTTCAAACCAACACATAGGGGCACATAGGGGCGATATCCATCCATCCATCCATCCATCCATCCATCCATCCATCCATCCATCCATATCTATGTCTATATCTGACAATGGATAGATTGTAACCAGCCTCTTCCAGGAAGATTTGACCGCCTCTGGCATACACGTGGTGGTTTCCTCCTCCACCATTGAGCATGCGGCTCGAGCGGCGCTGGGCCAGGGTGTTGCGCTGGTGCATAGCTGCTAGATGTTGTATCCCATGATATTGCCATGGAATAAATTGTTTGGTTCATGAGCTGAATAAAATCAATGTTTTTTTTTATGGGTTCTCAAAGGTCTTTAAAGACCTAGACTGATTTCACTTTTAGTTGGATGTTTGTTGTTGGATTTCCTACTTATCCATCTACTACAATAGGAATGATTCAGAAAAAATGACAATCACCAACGTTTGGAACGTGAGACTGTCGAAATTCGATGAATCACAACATACATCAACATTTGCTTCCAGACTTCCCACCGCATCGTTCAACAAGGTGAAAATTGGAGAGGTCTACGATCAGTCCTTGCGAGACAAGTTACGGCAGATGAAGGTAGATGTGTTTGGACTCCTCGTCCGTGAATTCAGCGTGGAACGGTGTGTCTCAAATGCGGTTTTGGAAAAACCCTTGGTTTCCTTCCTTGACGCGCAATTCCACTATGGAATATGGCATAAGCTGATCAGATACTCAAAGTCAATCTGAACATATCTGTCCCAAACAATCTCAACACATGGTTGCATCTTAATTTTGGGACACAATACTTAGTTATATTAACACAATCATGTGGAAGGTTGTGATTGATGACAAGGTGTGAAAGGTAGTGCTTACTCAAGGTGTAACTACGCCAGCATTCAGTTCACTAACAGTGCGTTGTGATGGTGTTTGGTATCGTCTTCCTTTTTACAGGAATAAGATGGAATAGGATCATTTTTTGTGAACCCTTGAGCGCCCAGGCAATTCACTCAAAAACATCCAAAAACAATTCGATTGCGAACTGCAATCTCTTCCCGGCATGATGGGTGGCTTAATCCACTGGCCCGAGGAGAAGGAGGCGAGTTTCACACCGTGGCGGAGGTTTGGAGCGTTGATCCTGAGAGGGCGCTTGGTGGTGCGGTGAGATAAAAAAAATTCGTGGCGCGAGTTTCAGGGTCAAGCCGTGGACTGTTTTTGTGCAGCATGCAGCTTTCCGAGACCGGGCCAATCCTGTGCGTTGCCTTATCACTTAAAAAAACACTATACAATTGAACACTTGACATCAAGATCTCAGGAAAATCGCTTATCACTATCATTAAATCATTATCACTATACAATCTATAGGACAATCTCACTTGACATCACTATATATCACTATATATCACTATATATCACTATCCAGTGACTATACAATTGAAAATCACTATGAAAACCTCCTTCGACGAGGTGGAGCAGGCTTCCCTATGGCCGAAGAGCGACACCCAACTGCCAGGCCAGGTCACGAAGCCAATCAAACGTGGCAAAGTCCTAACACATGGAGGTTTCAATGGGAAAATCATGGGAAAATCATGGGAAAATATGGGAAAATCATGGGAAATTCATAGAAAATCCATCATTTATGGAGGATTTTCCAATGAACACTGAACACCTCCATTTTTAGGGTGTTGTTTATGGATTTGTCCATAGCGATGTTTAGCAGCGAGGGTAATTTTTGTATGGTATTGCATCATCAAAGAACAGAGGACAGACACAAAATGGCAAGTGAAATTGAGTTCTATTCAGAAGGTTGTAGACTAGCTAATGTAGTAAACGGTAAACGCAGAAAAAGCAAACAACCAAACAACCAAACACAAAAGAGGTCCCGAATCAGAAACTTTATGCAGCCTTAATGGACGAGGCCATTAAGGTATGGCATTTTTGGTCCCTTGAAATGGGGACCTAAAAAAGCACCCTGTTTTGTTTATGGGGAAGCAACTCAAGTAACTCAAGTGTTTTTTTTAACTGTATTTCAGCATGGAAAACAACTATCAAACAACTATCATTCAGTTTTATAGTTTTGTATCCATGGCTTGATCCAGGCATCATCCACCAAGATCTGGTGTTGGCCGTGGCGGCGTCCCGGATCGATGTTTGGTCCTCCAGAAAACCACCAGGGTCGGGGGGGTCTGTGATGACGATATGATACGATCTGCGGGATAATTATATCATATATCATGCAAATTGGTTCATTGTATAATAATCATACATAATTTATACCTCATATATGTATATATACATATATATATATATGTAATTGACATTATTGTAATACATGATAGAAACGTGGAAGTTTGTGTAATGTTGGTAAAACAATGTCATAAACCATCCCCCAAAGAATCACCATTTTTATAGGTGGTGTCGTTATCATGCCCAGTCATGGATGGTGTTTATGGCATCGTTTTAACCACATGAGTATCCAAATGCTCCATGTATGGAATATTTACTTACATTGCCCTAAACATCACCCAGTTTTGTAGGTAAATATACCAGCACCATGGAGCATATGGGGTACCCTCTGGTAAATTAACATAGACCCTGGCAGATAGGGGTTGGAAGACTAGTTTCCATTAAAATTTGGTGATTTTCAGGGTTATGTTGATTTACCCGGGGGTATATGGGGTATATGGGGTATATGGGGTATATGGGGTATAAGAATCACTCATCTCCATCCCCTCTGGTCGCCATGGTAGCCACGGCCTCAGGTGACAGTGAAAGACTTCGTGGCTTCGCTTCGAAAGCAGGGCAACTGGCTGGGGATCCTGGGGGGAGACTTCCCTAAAAGTGGCTGGGGAGACACTCACTGTGTTGTAAACATACCATGGTCATATGTATATATATACATACATGTATACATTAAAACATCCATATATGTAATATAATAATAATATCATATATATATATATATGTCAGGCGTCAGTACCCTATTTGTGGTGATTTCGGCTAATAGGCTGGGGTTTTCCCCTTGAAGATCCCAGATGGGGTGGTGTCCACCTTCTAACTACCAATGGCTTTTTAAAAGGGGAACATGATCATACACTACACTTTATTAGATTTGGAGACCTGGAGAGACCTTATTTTCAGAGAAAGCCATATGACTGCATAGATCTATCATTATTCAGTATATATATATACAACTTTTGCTCTGGTACATCCCCGAGCATTATTGCATAGACTCCCCATTTTAGTCTGGAGATATCCTTCGAAGATCCTGGAAAATCCAGAACTTGAGATGAAGAACAAACAAATTCCCTCCAGTAGTCAGACATGGCTAGCTGGGAAGTCCCCTATATGTGGGCCTTTAAATGGGAAACGAATTTATTGCAGGTATCCTAGAATACCACGGGGGTAAACAATCACTGGGACTTGGGCTTGTCAGAAAAAAATGTGGTACTCGGAGCTGTCTGAAAGATAGGTACCCCAAATTTAAATGGCCTCGGGAAACATAATTTTCCACGGTACAAGTAGTTGATGGCAAGGTCTCCGGGCCTCATTCCTAGATCTCCCTTTGGCACAGTTGCTTTGGGGGGTGCCATATATATATATTTAACAATACATATATATATATATATGTACATAATGTAGGTCTATATCATGATATATCTATGGAAATTACGTGTGTATAATTGTCTGGTTGGTGGTTTCACACATTTTTTGTTTTCCATAATATATGGGAATAATAGTCATCCCAGCTGACTAACTCATTTTTTCAAGACAGGTAGGTTGAAACCACCAACCAGATAGATATATAGATAGATAGATAGATAGATAGATAGATAGATAGATAGATAGATATACACATAAATCATATATACACATAAATCATATATATATATATATATATACACCCTCTGGTAATTTAACATAGCTATTGAAAATAGCAATTTAATCATAGTTGATTTACCCAACCAGATATAGAGAGATCTCAGGCCCCGCTCTATGCGTCGTTGTCTCAGGCCCCTGCTCTATGCGGACGGCGCCTCGAATTTGCAGCGCTCCTTCGAGTTCCTTCGGCACCTCGGCGGCGCCGGTTACCGGAGATCTGGGGAGATAGCCTACAGTTATGGCCCAACTCACCGGTATAAATATGTGTGTATAATATATATATATAATATAATGATTATAGATGTATATCAATGGAATTATTCCATGATATATAAGCTTAGTGATACAGAGTTAGTTCATTCCATTTATAACTCTTAGTTGGGCCAGAACTGTAGGATAAACATGCGGAAGATGTGGAAATCCTATAGTTTCCCTAGGGACATCATCTACAAGTGGTTGATTTTCCACATCGAACTGTTTGTTTACCTGAATGTCTGGGATATATTTCTTCAACTCGTCATATTCCAAGATGTTTAGAGAATACAACTAGCAAGATGAGCACCACTATAAGCAACTATATACAGTACCCAGCACTATAAGCAATAATATAACCAGCACTATAAGCAACAACAATAACCAACAATCTAGCAAGCATTATTGCCATGCAATAGAATCAACAATAACCAACACACCAGACAAATCGTGATAACATTTTGCGGGATTTTGAATATAATCTATCATATTCCAAAATATTTATAAAGATAAAATAACCAGCAATAAAGCCAGCACTATAAGCAACAATGCAACCAACACTATAAGCCTTAAGCAACAATAAAACCAACACTATAACAACAAAATAGTCAACAATATAACCAGCAATATAATCAGCAATACAATGTAAAAAAAAAACAACAGCGTGATAACAATTCGTTGGATATTTAATATACCCCATCATATTCCACAATCATGCGGTAAATTCATAGGGGAAAAACGCAATTTTGTTTATTGAATATGGTAAACCCAAGAATAAACCATCCCACTAACCAATAGTAAACCCAATAACTAGGGATACAATGGAATATTCATGAGTTATACCCTTTGGTGTCATCAAATGTGGCTAGCTTGAAACTCATCTACAAAGGTGGAGGCTTCTAGCTGGGACAATCATCGTTTAAAACGGTGGATTTTCAATTGCCACGTTTGGTTGCGGTCGGTAGCCGTACAGGTTTGCCATTTGTCTCTGGTTCAATCCGGTTTCATAACATAGGCTAATTTCATACCCGATTTTTGATAGTTGAATCCATTGTGATTCAAACACTACATGGAGGTTTCCTAAGTCATGGGGGTACCCATTTGTATCATCCATTTTTGTTTGGGATTTTCCATGAAACCAACCATCCAACTACTGGGATACACTCACCAGGTCAAAGTTACCGGGTTCTCCCGCATTGGGCAAGTGCGGCAGCTTGGGGGCGTGCAGCGCGGCAGCGCGGTAGCGCGGAGCAGAGGGCAGTGGAGCTGATTTCCGGGGCGAACAAGCCATCTGTACGCAAACAATGGCCAACATAGAGCTATTGATAATATATATATTTAGATATAGATATAGATAGCCAGTTAAATATATGTAATTATATATTTAATTAACACATAATAAAATGTATATATATACACTTATTTGTAATTTACTTTATGTCGATCTACCTATACTCTATAAGTATATCATATATCCTGAATCCCAAAACAAATGAACATATGTTCGGGTTTTAGCTAGGTTTACATCAAGAACTGGGGATATCCTAGATATGGGTTAAGATTAGATACCAGATATGGATGTGTGATTTTCGAAACAAACCAAAAACGCTCCCCTGGGACTGATATTTGACTCGTTCCCCAAACATATATAGATACATATATGATATATGGTATGTATGGAATTTAGTTCGATGAATATAAATATAGGTAGACTACGTTAGATTATGTTAAAAATTGTTTCGATCGCATCAGATTGGATTGGACTAGATTGACGGATAGATTCGATAGATTACATGGAGTAGCTGGAGTAGTAGATAGATAGGTAGATAGATAGATAGATAAGTAGTTAGACAGATAGAAGGGTAATGTTAGGGTAATGTTAGGTAGATATATGACAACATCGAACTTTCTCCATATATAGCGTTAGTACTTTAGGTAAACTTGAATGGCATTGCTACAGCACACATCATATATAGTTGGGTGAATACTCCGCAATGATGACATGATTTTCAACCGCCAAGCTGCTGGAGTGGCTAGATTGGTTTGACCCATCACATCCCATCAACATATCACCACCCATTTTGGCAGCTTCTATCCTCATGTTGTGGGTGATATTCCAAGATATGTCAGATATGTCCAAAGGTTTGCTTTCTAAATTCACACTATCTCTACATTCCGAACAAATGCATCACTGGTTGGTGGTTTGGAACATTTTTTTCCATATATTGGGAATAATCATCCCAACTGACGAACTCATATTTTTCAGAGGGGTAGGTCAACCACCAACCAGATCATCAACGTCATCAACCCTGGTGCCAGTGTAGAGAATCTCGGTCCAGGCATCTCCTGTTCAAGCGGACCGACCTGTGGTTAGGCAGCCACACACTGTCGTACCTGGGCTTGGCCGAACATACCACCAAACCATTGGGCTGTTGATCCGTGGGTACCATCATTTTAGAAGCAAAATATCACCAGTTTGGGGGAACCCCACGATTTGGGTTTTTCAATGCATCTTAAATTGGGTGCTGACATCACAGTACATATTAGTTGTTTGGAATCAGATGGAATCAGTTCATTAGGGAGATCAAACCACAGGCAACTCAGCAAAAAACGTGCCACAACCAACCAAGTAGCAAGAATTGGGTAAACAGGCCCTTTCTGACATACACCCTTCAAGCCTATTTATTGTGTATCAAAACGTCGAGGATGGTACATTGTTGGGTTTGCGACATAAATTTGGAACCTAAATTTAGCGTCAGGCCACTCAGGTTTTTGTTTGCAAGAGAATGCCGTGCAATGTGTGGTTCCGCTATGCAAAGGCTGGGATTCCATCGATTATTCAAGCAACAATTTTATACATTTTTGAGTTTCCCAGGCATCATCTTCACGATTCACTCCAAGTAGTGTTGAACAAAATGTGTTGCGTTCATTCGATCCGTTTGGACTTCTCCGGTAACTCTCGTCACCAAGAATCTGCAACCAGATTCTCGATGACGGTCATGCGGGCCCAAGTTGGGTACCTGAAAGTTGGATTATGACTACCAAACATGACCAAGATTTGAGGTCCTGATGGTCCTCTTAACGTAGACATCTCGTACATCTCGTGCACCCATGTTGCCAAGTTGCCAAGGACACTCCACTTCGATAACTACGAGAATCTCTTCTCTCAACTCGTTGGAGAGAAGGACGGAACCTGTCGTTGGATCCCTGTGCTCCAACAGGTAGCAGCTGACCCCAAGAATTGAGGCAACTTGGATATTCCCAACATTTGACTTACCATTGGTAAATTGGTAAATTGATATTCAATGATATTCATAACTTGGATAAATTGAACTGTTATAGATTTACCATTATTTTTCCGCTTCATCATGTTCATCCTTCGATTTCTTGTTCAGTTTCTGTTTCCAACCGAGAAGCCCACAGTTATGGCCCTCAACAGCCATGGGATGAACTAACTCCAATAGCTAAGGTATGCTAAGGTTATATATATATATTTAATATAATATATATATATATATCATGAAATCATTCCACATTCATCCCATTTACAACTGTTTGTTGGGCCATGGGCCGAGGAGTTTCTGCTGTGCCCCCCGGGCGACACTCCTCTCTTGGCGGATGGACGTTTGCGAAAGGCCTACGTCCGGAGCCATGGCTTCGTATTTCATGGGAAAATCCCATGGGAACTCCCAGGGTTTCTGGTTTCGATGTTCACTTGAACGAATCCATTGATGCTTAATTTCTTGCCATTTTGAATTGGATATGATATATTAATGATATATTAGTACCTAGCACCAATATGTTTTTTTGGCTATCTAAGATTGGCCATGATCTTAGGGCGTTGAAACATGGGATATGTACCCCCACACTACAATTTGGTTGTGGCCTTTTGTACTTTGCAGGCAACATGCGGTTTTGAATCATCGGATTTAAGTGTGCTGCATTTTGGACATTCCACGACATTCCCATATATGGGCAAATCAGACAAAGCATGGTCTTGAGCTGTTGAGGCTGATTTAGGAAGGTGTACAGCAAAATGAAATTGGGCTTATCCCGCTCTGTAACGTTGGATAGTGATGCCAGCATGTGATCATCCTTATCAATATTTGTTTTTGTACCAGGATAATCCCAGGTCTACCAGACGTATTTGAAATTGTTTGAATGGAAGTTGCTTGCTGTTTGGCTAAATGCACATTGCTGATCGGTGCAGCAATCATGTTCACTGGACAAACTACTTGGGATTCACTAGTAACTTAAATATGTTCTTATTTGTTCGATCTGTTCTTAAATAATCTGAAATACACTTGTTTTTCTATACAATGATACTTCAAACATTCCTATATATTATATATAGAGATTTCCAGCTTTACTCATGCCTATTTACCCATAGCGATTTCCATCGCACCCTAGGCAACCTGGGATCGAAGCGATGGTCATGGCCTCGTTTTTCAGGGATTTCAGGGGACATTCACCGCCAAAACCATGGATGAATTTAACTTATCCAATAATACTGTAGAATTATATAAATTGCTTCAATAGTTGGACATTATCCATGGAACCAGGGTAAATTCACCACCAATTCATGGGAAGTTGTGGGAATTCTATGGGAATGTAAATCATCAAAACCATCCAACATTGTGATAGATGTGGATGTTAACCACCAATCATGGGGGTGGTGGTGATTGGTGGTGTATGAACCATCAATTTTGCTTATCATATCCATTGACTCTCCATCCCCGTTAGTGGTTTTAGGGTACATACAACCATCAACAACTATGCGGTTATGATGTGGGATGGGATGGGGACGGAAATGTTAACGGAATGTCCAAAGATCGGTTTTGCAGAGGAAATCGTCAGGTAACCACAGGATACGACCCCCAAAGCTGGCCCATAAGTGGGCGGGTGGAAGTATCATGATACATCCGGTTGGCGCAATCCAACTGACAACTGTTGACCAGGGATCTCCGGTCCGGTCGGTATGATTTCCATTGCTATTGGTTTTGCTTATCAACCAGACACTGAAATGTTGAACACATGAACATCCTATTATCATCCAGATGGAAAGTCCCTCAAGATCAGGTTATGGCATGTACTGAATGTACTGTTCTGACTCTTTGAAAAAGCAATCATTGACCCAACTAAAAGTATCAAACTAATTGAATATATTTGAGACGAATCAAATATTGAAGTGAACTTTAAACAATACACAGCAACTCCTAAAATCTAGGTAAAAATGAGCTATTTCATCAAGACCCCAGAAACCTTTTCGAACTGTTATATCACCATCAGTCACCTATGGTTTTTGATTCCACCACATATCTTCCAAAAAGACAAAGTGGAACCCAGAAACATTGTTTGGAAGGCAATTTTCCTAGTATAACTTGGTCATGATTTGGGTTTGTATGTTGCTCATGGAAAAAAGTGTCATGGAAACTAAACATCGGGGTTGAACATAGTTGTTCTTGATTTTCATTGAAGTTCTGTGTTAGTCGGCAAGTTTGGGAGGGTGCATCCACCAGATCCCATGGCAAATCATAGCCCACGTATTTCAGCCACAACCACAACCGGTCACTGAAGGAAGTTTCGAGCGCAAGGCATGCTGCATTTGGGTGCATGGGCAGTGCATGGGTGAAAGTTCTACTGCGGGCGGTGGTTTCAACAGATGTTTGCTATTTTCCATACTGCCTGCGATCATGATCCGAATTGAGAGTCGCATTTTTGGGAGGTGGCACAACCGCGAATCAGCTATGATAGCCTATGTGGGTGTCCAATGTTTTGCCAATAACCAAAGCTCCTCACATCAATTTCACAATCCATGGACTTTACAAAAAGGCCTGAAAGCTTCAAAGTATGCCCAATCAAACAAATCGATATGTTGCAAGTGTACACATGCAGACAGCCAGCGTGCATTCTCCACTGGACCCTATTTGAAAAAAACTGTCCCCAAATGGCTCACTGTAAATAAGTCTTGGCCTGGACATGTGAGCTTGCCATGAAGATTTCCTATCCATAAACCATGATGAATGGATTATGGGAATCAGGCATCAAGCGCCGCCACTAGGAGCTTTTGGGGCCCGTGGATGAAGATGGGTTCGATAAAAATGTAAATGCCTCAAAGTGTGAATTTATGTTGGAAAATGTGTTTTCCCCCAAACTTTCAGACTTAAACCGCTATGCCAAAGAAACATGTTCGGGGGCGCCAAAAACTCATCTTCATCCGCAAGGCTGAAGGATTATCCGACGAAGCAGCCTTGGGTCCTGGAGGGTGCAGTGCCAATTGGCTTTCTTCCAAGAGATATTCAACTACCCTCCAAAAATCAAAACCGCATTCCAGTTGCCCATCGTGAGAGGGTTTTCCTGCAGAAATTTCTACAAATCTAGCAGTTCAGGTATGTTCAATCCTTGCCAGGCTTAAAGAATGATTTTCGTAGAATGTATAGAATGTATAGAATGTAAGGTTGCCTCTTTTGTCGACGGAATATGTACAAGAATAGGTTAAATAAAATATTTAAAGATATAAAACATGTATTGTCATATGCACACATATGCATATGTAATTATATGGACTTTCAATAGCTATAGAGTATCTGTTTCCCCATTAAAGTCATGACTGACACGAAGAAATGTTTCCACCTGCGGCCGGGTCCTGGCCGGGTCTGAGGTCATGAATTACGCTGTCTACGACATCGAGAATCCTCCGGAAGAGCCTGGGGCCCCTGGGGTCCCCAATGCCTCGGGGAGCGGTGATTCATCTTCATCGCAAAGGCAAAGGCTATAGCTTCTCAGTTCTTGTTCTTGTTCTTGTTCTTGTTGCTGCTGTTGGTGTTGTTGCTGCTGTTGTTGTTCTTGTTGCTGCTGTTGGTGTTGTTGCTGCTGTTGTTGTTGTTGCTGCTGTTGGTGTTGTTGCTGCTGTTGTTGTTGTTGCTGCTGTTGGTGTTGTTGTTGCTGCTGTTGTTGTTGTTGTTGCTGCTGTTGGTGTTGTTGCTGCTGTTGTTGTTGTTGCTGCTGTTGTTGTTGTTGTGTTGTTGTTGTTGTTGTTGTTGTTGTTGATGCTGTTGTTGCTGCTGTTGCTGTTGTTGCTGTTTTTTGTTGTTGTTGTTGTTGCTGCTGTTGTTGTTGCTGTTGCTGTTGCGGTTGTTGTTGTTGTTGTTTTTGTTGTTGTTGGTGTTGTTGTTAATGTTAATGTTGTTGTTGTTGTTGTTGTTGTTGTTGATGCTGTTGTTGTTGTTGTTGCTGATGGATGGTTGTTGTGTTGATGATGTAGGTGTTGTTGTGTTGTGTTGAGGATGTTGTGTTGTTTGATGTGTGTTGTTGTTTGCTGAATTGTGGTGTTGTTGATGATGGTTGCTTGTTGTTGATGATCATGTGGTTTGTTGTTTGATGATGTTGTTTTGCTTTTTGCGGAATGCGGTTGAGTGTTGGGCTGCTGTTGTGTTGTTGTTGCATGATGTTGGTGTTGTGATGAGGTGTTGTTGTTGTTGATGCTGTTGTGTTGTTTGTTGATGCTGTTGTTGTTGTGCGATGTGTTGGTGTTGTTGATTGTGTGTGTTGTTGTGGGTGATGATGTTGTGTGTTGATGATAATGTTGTTGTTGTGTTGATGGGTGTGTTGCTGCTGTTGATTGTTGTTGATGGTTGTTGTTGTTGTTGAGCTGTTGTTGTGGTTAGATGCTCGTGGTGTTGTTGATGATGTTGTTGTTGATGATGTTGGTGTTGTTGAATGCTGTGTGTTGATGCGTTGTTGTCGTTGTTGTTGTTTGTTGTTGTTTGTTGTTGTTTGTTGTTGTCTGTTGTTGTTTGTTGTTGTTTGTTGTTGTTTGTTGTTGTTTGTTGTTGTTTGTTGTTGTTTGCTGTTGTTGTTGTTTGTTGTTGTTTGTTGTTGTTTGTTGTTGTTTGTTGTTGTTTGTTGTTGTTTGTTGTTGTTTGTTGTTGTTTGTTGTTGTTTGTTGTTGTTTGTTGTTGTTTGTTGTGGTTTGTTGTTGTTTGTTGTTGTTTGTTGTTGTTTGTTGTTGTTTGTTGTTGTTTGTTGTTGTTTGTTGTTGTTTGTTGTTGTTTGTTGTTGTTTGTTGTTGTTTGTTGTTGCTTGTTGTTGCTTGTTGTTGTTTGTTGTTGTTTGTTGTTGTGGTTGCTGCTGTGTGTTGGTGCTAGCCTTTGTTGTTGTTGTTGCTGCTGTTGTGTTGTTTTGCTGATTGTATGTTGTGTTGCTGCTGTTGCGTGTGTTGATTGATGGTTGTTGTTGTTGTTGCTGCTGTTGTTGGTGTTGCTGCTGCTGTTGTTGTTGTTGTTGCTGCTGTTGGTGTTGTTGCTGCTGTTGTTGTTGTTGTTGCTGCTGTTGTTGTTGTTGCTGCTGTTGTTGTTGTTGTTGCTGCTGTTGGTGTTGTTGCTGCTGTTGTTGTTGTTGTTGTTGCTGCTGTTGTTGTTGTTGCTGCTGTTGTTGTTGTTGCTGCTGTTGGTGTTGTTGCTGCTGTTGTTGTTGTTGTTGCTGCTGTTGTTGTTGTTGCTGCTGTTGTTGTTGTTGTTGCTGCTGTTGGTGTTGTTGTTGTTGTTGCTGCTGCTGTTGGTGTTGTTGCTGCTGTTGTTGTTGTTGCTGCTGTTGGTGTTGTTGCTGCTGTTGTTGTTGTTGTTGCTGCTGTTGTTGTTGTTGTGGTTGTTGTTGTTGTTGTGGTTGTTGTTGTTGTTGTTGTCGTTGTCGTTGTCGTTGTCGATGTCGTTGGTTGTTGTTGGTTGTTGTTGGTTGTTGTTGGTTGTTGGTTGTTGTTGTTGGTTGTTGTTGTGGTTGTTGTTGTTGTTGTTGTTGTTGCTTTTGTTGTTGTTGTTGTTGTTGTTGTTGCTGTTGTTGTTGTTGTGGTTGTGGTTTTGTTTGCCAGCCTGTTTGAGATTAATCACAGTAGCCATTATTTGATATTGCTTGGCCTTTGAAACTGAGTTCGATTGCCACGTACTACGCTATTTCACTATCATGAATCATGACCATCATGACCATCATGCCCATCATGATTATCATGACCAGCAGGACCACCACCAGCACCACTACCACCACCACCACCACCACCACATCATCATCATCATCATCATCACCATCATCACCATCATCACCATTGTCAAGATCATCAACATCATCAACATCATCATCATCATCACCATCATCACCGTCATCAGCATCATCACAATCACTACCATCATCACAATCATCATCATCACCACCATCAACACCACCATCACCATCATCATCACGTGTTTTTCTTTAATATTTGTCTTGTCTGTAGACTCTATACATTGTACATGTTTCCCTGGGAAAACTGATATAGACGTGGAGCAGCCACCATGATCTATAGATGTTCCGAACAAATGTCCCCATAACTTTTCCACATCTGCAGTGGCACCTGTCGGGAGCTGCTCAGGTACGCGGAATTGTCTGCAAAGCTTCGAACCACGGTGGGGCAGCGGCGCATTGGGCCATGGCAATTCGTTGAGGAATTACAATCTCTGGGTTTTCAACATAGCTTATTGTTGGTCACCAGGTCTCTACCAACAATAGGTGACAAAATGCCAGGGTTATCGAAATTTGATGAGACTAACCATCATTTTAGTTTTTATTTTTTATTTTTACCATCAAACATATGGGAATGTCAATGATAGATGATGTTTGATCCGTCGTTATATGTATATATATATAATTTTAAATACTTGGTTTATTGATGATGTTTATCAAAGGAAGTTTAGTTGGGAAACTTCCGAGTTACGGACGATTGTCATGGCCAGCTTTCTCACCATCATGGTAACCACATCATCAGCTTTATCATTCTGTCATTATGTCAACCACATCACCATGTCAACCACATCATCATCAGGTCGGGAACGCGTGAATCCCGGCTTGAAAAGACTCTCGGGCGCGAAACCCTGCGTTCTTTTAGGGTAAAGCGGCTTCCGTGGTCGCCGTAAGGAGGGTCTCTAGCTGTTTCCGCGGTCGCGCGGCTCGACCGGGGAAAGTTTTGTAAACAAAAAGCGCACAGGACTTTAGCGAGGGCTCTGTTTGCATTTGAAAATAAGGATTGGCAATAGATTTGGGGTGAAATGCAAATGATTTGGGATGGTGAATGCCCCTATAAATATTTCCAGGAAATCATAATCCCATCTAACATCATTTAACTATTCCCTAAGTTCTCCCGGGGGCCATGCAGCCCCCAGCCCTCATCCCGCGAATCCTTTTGCTGTGGCAATGATCCAAAATAAATCTACTTTCTTACTTGACACTTGATTCGGGGGGGGTGATCTACAAGTTTCGTCCGAAACTCACCTAAATCAGGTCATTTTGGAGTTCTATCTACAAGACCCAAATCAAGTAGCAAGTAAACGACATGCTCAGCAAACCCTAGGATTTAGGAAAGTTTCAATTGGAACTTGCAGAAGTCAACATCCATTTTTTGGACATGGAGATCTACAAGATCACCTTTTCTGCTTGCATTAGATTTGGGATCAAGACTTCAGGGGTCCTTGCCAAGCAATAGTACGCCACCAAGAAGTCAACATACACCATATCAAAGGAATATTTAGGCCCCCCAACTCAATGGGCATCACACATACTTACAAATATGTAGAATAGTAATAGTAGATCGTCAGATAAATTTAACACTTAGGTCCCCAAGAAGTCAATGTAAACTATACAAGTTTAGGTCCCCAACTCAATGGACATTACAAATATATACAATAATGCTAGCCAAAATTGGGACCCCAAATCAAATGCTTTTGGCCCAAGATCAAGTGCTATTCCATAAATGTTCAAAAGCGTTCGGAGCACTTTTGGAAGATGCCGGCAAAATGGGCACGAGACTGTAGCGAGGGCTCGGTTTCACATAAAATGCTGAAAAATTGTCAGCGTGGGGACGCTTTTGGAAGATGAGGTCGGCGAAGGGTGCCAGGGACTGTAGCGAGAGTTCGAATTCACATAAAATTTGCAAAAAAACTTTTAAAAAAAAATAACGTCCGGAGCACTTTTGGAAGATGAGGTCGGGAAAAGGTGCACGAGACTATCATCCATTTCAATTCATTTCAATTCATTCCTTTCAATTCATGTCAATTCATTCATTCATTTCAATTCCTTCGTTTCAATTCCTTCATTTCAATTCCTTCCTTTCAATTCATTCATTTCAATTCATTCATTACAATTCAATACAATTCATTCATTTCGATTCATTCATGTGGATTCATTCATTTCAGTTCATTCATTTCATATCATTCATGTCAGTTCATTCATTTCAATTCCTCTATTTGAATTTCATTTCAAGTTATTCGCTCATTCATTCATTCGTTCGCTCGTTCGTTCGTTCAGTCATTCATTCACTCATTCATTCATTCACTCATTCATTCATTCATTCATTCATTCAATTCAATTCAGTTCAATTCAACTCATTTCAATTCAATTCAATTCAGTTCAATCAATTCAGTTAGTCAGTCAGTCAGTCAGTCAGTCAGTCAGTCAGTCAGCCAATCATTAATTCATTCACTCATTCATTCATTCATTCATTCATTCATTCATTCATTCATTCATTCATTCATTCATTCATTCATGCTTCAGTCAGTCAGTCAGTCATTCAGTCATTCAGTCATTCAGTCAACCATTCATTCGTTCATTCAGTCATTCATTCATTCATTCATTCACTCACTCAGTCATTCATTCACTCACTCACTCACTCTAATTCATTCAGTCGTTCATTCAGTCGCTCATCCATTCATTCACTCATGCGTTCATTCATTCTTTCATTGATTCATGGCATGTCGTTTCATTTCATTCATTTCATGCGTGTCATTTCATGTCAATTCACTTCTTTCCAATTCACCAAGGATTCCTATAAGCAAACTGGTTCCTATAGCCATGTCCTATTTTTGAAACTTCCGCCCCGGCGCGTGCCGCGTACTGCCTGATACAATACATCATTTTTGAGGGATAGTGTATCTATTGAGAGAACAATCCATATACGTGAGATGGGGGAATAGGCGGATATGGTTAATTTGAATGGTTCGACCAAAATAACATGGGTTTCCGCCGGTAGGTTTTGCATACAGACACAACCTGGTGAGTCAGAGGCCGCATTGAAACCTCCATGTATAGCGCGGACTTCCCCGCTACTCATGATTGATTACCAAAGGGGAGACATTAGAAATTCAGTTCAGCAGGTCGTATTGGTCGTATTGGGTTCAGGGCTGCACCCTGGGAAACAGCGACATCAACTGCAGTGTCCAGTGATTCGGGAACCCCCAGACATCTCCGAACGATGTGGTCGTTTGCCTTAAGGTTCCAATACAGTTTAGATCTTCTGAGTCCCCAAAATATGTTATTTGTAATTTTTAATCATAATCTGTATATTTCATCTTGCAATATCTTGAATCCTTACCCCACCACCGCATGTCACTTTGAAAATCTAAACCTCCGACCTCAAAATGTTCCAGCGTTGATTCTTGTGGTCACAGGTCGTCACAGTTCATGCTGGGGAGACTTTGTACTTGCCCTTCGGCTGGTGGCACCAGGTGCAGCAACCCGGGCAGAAAATTTGGTTTAAGGCTGGAAAAACACATGGAACATCTTCAAGAGCCCATGAAACAGCATCATGGATGTCCTTTCTCTACTGGATGGTTGCTTCATAGATAGGCAAAACACCATTGAAGAACCCATTTGTGGATGATATACCAAATCCTCATTTGTACAAATTGAGCTTTTGGGGAACGATCCTTAAAAAATACCCAGAACTGTTCATCGGTGCTTTGGCATGCCAGGAAGACCTGATGAAGAGAATCATACTTTGCTCTTCAAATCTTGGCTAGGTAGGCTAGGTAGGTTTTAAGCTCTGGCTGGTGTTTTTTCCTTTCTCCTGTGGCCAGCTGTGGATATAATTTCTCTCTCATTCCCAGCTAAAATCTAAGCATATATGAACTGTTTTGCGAGTGTCAGATTGATCCTAAGATTAGCCATGATAGGGGATTGACCATTCCAAGAAGCACAAGTGAACGTCCGCGATCAGGACAAAACATGGTGAACAAGTTGTTCAACTGTGATAAACATCAGTTATATCATGCTATATCATCTATATCTATATTTCGTTACTTGCTTTGCTAAAGAAGTTAGATTAGTTAGCTTTAAATCATCACGTTATTGGCACTTCTTGGCATTATTTTAGCTCACTCGCCACCTTGTTAGCTTAAGCGTCACCCAAGAAGTTACGCTTCCATGGCTTCGTTGAAGGTCTCCTCCAGGCTGATTCGAGTTGGGTGAGTTGGGTCATTTCCACTTCACTCCCACCGATTGGCTGATGTTTCTATTGAGACTTTTGTGGGGGATTGTTAGACTAGTATAAAATAACAAAATATAATAATATATTATATAGTAATATATATAATTACAGATTACTTGGAGCTACTTCAGATGGTCGTCCACATCATCACAGGTTCGCGGACGACCGGGTCCAGAAGGTCTTTGCTGCTCAGCCGCCTCCTTCTATGCGCAGCTTGACCGCATAGAAAAAGAATCGTGATTTGTTCGTGTAGTTTCATGCAAAACTACCTCAAAAAATGGTGTAGTGTATATTATATGGATATATATATATAATTATATTATATGGATATACATATATATGTATATATATATATTATAATTATATATATATACATGTGGTTAACATGGTAATATCGCCATCATTATGCTGGATGTAGCCATGTGAAACTGGAGGCTATCACAGTAAAGACCAATATTCCGGGGCCATTTCCAGCGAGCTCCTGGGTGCCATCATGTGCCATCTGCCAGATCGTCTCCTGGGGAAAAGATTTGCAAAATGATCTTGTTTATCTTGGTTATTTTCAATAGCTATTTTGACATAACCAGAGGGTAACATATACTTCCCGCCGGGTGTGAAACCGCGCGTGTAGTGGCGCACTTTCTCATGAAAAAGTGATCTTGGCAAACCTTAGACTTTGGGGTCCGAATTTTGACTATTTTTTGGGACAATTTGCAGCGCCACAGCGCCAGCGCAATTTCCGTTGCCGGTTTTTTACTTCTCCGTCCAAGGATGTCAAGCAGTCTTTTGCAGGAAGACTTGCGCTGTCTTAGATGTTGTATGAAATCGTTGAAAGCGTAGCAACAAGAAAGTCTTAGATGTTGTATGAAATAGTTGAAAGCGTAGCAAAAAGAAAGTCTTAGATGTTGTATGAAATAGTTCAAAGCGTAGCAACAAGAAAGTCTTAGATGCTGTATGAAATAGTTCAAAGCGTAGCAACAAGAAAGTCTTAGATGTTGTATGAAATAGTTGAAAGCGTAGCAAAAAGAAAGTCTTAGATGTTGTATGAAATAGTTCAAAGCGTAGCAACAAGAAAGTCTTAGATGCTGTATGAAATAGTTGAAAGCGTAGCAACAAGAAAGTCGTAGATGCTGTATGAAATAGTTCAAAGCGTAGCAACAAGAAAGTCTTAGATGTTGCATGAAATAGTTGAAAGCGTAGCAACAAGAAAGTCTTAGATGCTGTATGAAATAGTTCAAAGCGTAGCAAAAAGAAAGTCTTAGATGTTGTATGAAATAGTTCAAAGCGTAGCAACAAGAAAGTCTTAGATGCTGTATGAAATAGTTCAAAGCGTAGCAAAAAGAAAGTCTTAGATGCTGTATGAAATAGTTCAAAGCGTAGCAAAAAAGAAAGTCTTAGATGTTGTATGAAATAGTTGAAAGCGTAGCAAAAAGAAAGTCTTATATAGATGTTGTATGAAATAGTTCTAGAATATTCCGAATGCAAGAATCAAGAAGGTGTCCACATTGACGTTATCACACCCCCCCCACCCCCCCACCCCAACCCCCCCACCCGAAACCCCAGAGAGAGATACAACCATTAGAAAAATATGCACGACTACACGCGCGGTTTTACACCCGCTGGCATATACTTGATATATTTATATATATATATTGATATAATTTGATCTACCCTCTGGTTATGACGAACATAGCCATGGTATAGATGGCCCATAGAAATAGATGATGTTCCCAGCTAGAAACCTCCATTTATTAAAGGGAATTTCAATGGCTATGTTAAATAACCAGATGGTATATAAAATGATCATCTTGATAAACATCTTGGAAATTTTCCTGGATAACCTACGGCTTTCCAAATCTATGCGAATATGTAGCCCGACTTCGCATATTCCACAGTCTTGCGTCCACTCTGTGATTGATTTTCCGCTTAAAGAGGACCACCTGAATCTACCCCAACCTTGATTGCAGTTGACAGTCCAAAACATACACAACGGTACGTTGTTTGATTCCCAATTAGGATGCTACCCAAGAATGCTTTGAATGAGAATGCAACTTCTGGTCATTGTCATGGACATTGATGCAGATAAACTTCAGACACATTGCTCAGAATTGTCCCAAAGGTCTTAACCAGGCCAGAAAAATGATCATTCAGAGAGGTGCTATTGAAGCCCCGGGTCATTTTCTCTGGAAAGAAAAACAACATGTCATTACATAACAAACAGTGGCTTCAATAGAGAAAACCAGGGACATTACATAAACATGACTTAACATAACTTGACTATATGACTATAAACCCCATGGTCTTTTTGTTTTGTTCTTGTGTTTGCGATTTCACACCCCGCCACCGGAGGTGGATTTGTCAGCTCTTCCAGCCATGTAAATGTAGTTGCGGTTGTGCATTAATCTTCACCGAGACCCTTGCAGTGCCTCTTAGAGTATTTTTCCCCAGACTTTGCAAAGTTTTTACAGATCACATGCAGTCATTGAGGTTGGCCACTGGTAGATACGAAGTCCTCCATTCTCATTTTGGGCTGCCCAATTCAATTTTGACCCATGCCCGATGATTTGTGTTTGGTAAGGTAATTAAGCGAAGCACATGCACCACTCAAAAAAACAATTATCTGCCAGCATATACAATATTTGTTGTCCAAAGTGGGGCATGATAAATGCAAAGATAGCACACAGACATAATTTACCAAATCTGAAAACAGCACTTTTCTTGTCGCTAGTTGGTACATGTTGAACTTTCCAGAACCATACCATTTGTGGACGGCCTTTTCCTACTGGCTTGTTGATGAGATTTTCATACAGGGTTGCCGCCCCCCTCGGTAAATGATGATCAACGCAGACCGCAACTCCATGTTTCCAAAAAGGACCTTGCTGGTACTTTGCAGCACATGAACATAGACATAGATGTCCTTTCCCCATCGGTTGGTTGATTAATAGAGGGGTTTGTTTACCCCTTTAACAACAGGTAAATGATGACAGATGGCATACCGAAAGGATGGTTATAGAGAATTATCCTGAGGAAACGCATGGTTTTGTTGTCGATTCTGATTCTGTATGTTACTAGAGGGAACTAGATCCGTGTGGTAAATCCAATAGTAATCCATCCCCAATAAATATGACCATACATGCGTTGCATCATCCCAAATGGTATACAAAATGGTTTACTATTATCCATTGTGTTAGTTGTTAACCATTATATTAACCATTAAGCAATATTTTGATGGTTCATACCAGCCATAAACCATCCACAATGGATTTTTGTCCCCTGAGGCCTTTCTTTGTTCGGCTTCAGCCCAAGTCCATGAGTTTCCCTGGCCCCTTGCTGCGCGGGAACCAACCAGGGCCGGTTCACGTGGATGGGGATGTGAAACTGGGGAGTTTTCACCAACAGACAATTGGGATTGAGCAAAATAAGAACACTATATAATACTGGATTTCACCAACTCTGATTGTTGCAACAGAAATTGAAAGTTGACTGATTTTAACAAACCAACAATGGGGATTCTTATCCTGCCATCTAAAGATTTTTGCCATTCAACGCCAGTTGAGAAGACACTAAACCCCACTTGCTGAGTGGGTTCTACGGGCTGACCAAGCGCTGAACCCTTGGAATCAAAACTGGCAATGGCACCCAAAACTGATCATTTCTAGATCATGAATCGCATCTTTCACAGAATAAATTCACCCCCCCGAACCCAAGAAACATGGCATTCGATGCAGGGAATAAAAAACATGGCTATCACTGGGACCATGGAATCCGGGATTCCTCATCAAACCTTGGGATTTGGACCAGGGAAGACAAAAAATTAGACCACCGACCTGGTAATTATTTGACATGTCTTTTTTCTTTTAAATTTGCATCCAACATATGTGGTTTTGATGGTTGATAGAAAAAACTCAGATATATTCAGATGATCAAAAAGGGCTTGGGATACCAAAAATGTGCCATTTACCCTCTGGTTATGTCAAAATAGCTATGGAAAATGGCCATTGGAATAGTGAGTTTTCCCATTAAAAATGGTGGATCTTTCCATAGTTATGTTAGTTTACCAGAGGTTATCCATTATGTCGGAGGCATGGAAACTCCTTGGCTGCCGGCCCTTTTTTTACAGGTGTTCTTGGGATGATGATTTCCATTGACTTGAGTATAGTCTATAGTGTTGACTTGACTGTTCAGAGAAGATGCAACATGATGTAACTACTATCCAAAGACCAAAGACATTTTTTGGAAAAGAGCATGTTTGAATTTGTGGTTGTCCATGGTTTTCCATGGTTTTCCGATAATGGATCCTTCTTTTTGTTCTTGCTTCACTTGGAGTACCAATGGACCCACAACATGGGTCTATTTTTGTTTTCAACACTGTTCCACGTGTTTTTTGTTTTTTCGGGGGCAGGGAGGAGGCACAGTAGATATTTCACATGGCATTCTGGTTGCTGGTTTTAAGTTGATTCAACCATAGGATGATCCTCACTGATATATTTTTTGGAGTGGTTGAAACCACCAATCAGTCAATCCATGTAGCATATACTCAACTACAGCAACTGGAGAAACAAAACCAGGTAAACATAGCAGACATTGATGGTACACTCCAGTAAACTAGCATAGCTATGGAAAATGACCCATTTAAAGACGATTTACCATGATTTATCTAGTGAAATTGTGATGCTATGTCTATGTCAGTTTACCAGAGGGTATGCCTAACTACTGTGCAGCACATGTTTTCAAGTTCTTATTCGATCGGCCGAAGCTGCCTCTCTCCATCTCAGCAGAAACATGTGAAAACAAAGGACACAAGGGGCTTGATGCCTATCTTGTACCACCCATTTTATGGATCTAGGGAAAACTGCAGCCCAAGCAAATGATCCAAGGGTGGGTATGGGTTTGTGTGTATATATATATGAATATATATATATATTCATATATACAGTATATACTTGCCATAGATACCCTGCCAAATGCAAGGCCAACAGCTGTACACTTGACTCACTTGACACTCATTGCATGTTGTGATTTGGAATCGGAAAGCTGGAGGGCTGGCAATACTTACCCCAACGGCCAACGGCTACTCGGGAATGTCTCCTACGAAGTTTTTTCTAGCATACATGATGTGAAAGAAAGGGAAACACCATCCTGAATTTAGGATAAACTATCCCATCAACCATCCATTGTTTTTTTTTTTTAACATCATCCTAAATATAGGATATATGGAGGTTTCCTAAATGTGGGTAGCCCAAATCATCCAGCTATCATGGATGACCATGACAACTAGTATTGAAACAACCTGCAGGTGACGACTGGGGATCCCGCATGACTTAAGAAACCCTGAATCTACCAGATCAATTTGTCGAAAACAGTGTGCTTTAGTAGAACCAGAGATGGCGGTGACCAGGCCCAGACGAGCCTTGCATTTTTGGAATGGCCAGGGGGGGCTTCCAGCAGATGCGGATTAGCATATATGTATGTGTGTTCCGTATATATTTATATGATATGATATGACATGACATGATATGATAGGATATGATAGGATATGATACGGATATTTTATATAGATATATGATATATATATATGTGATATGATATAAGATATGCATATATATATATATATATATGTGATAGTGCAATAGACAGATTCCAGCTGTACGAATTACATAATGATTTGAAAAGTCCAAATAACAAAGATGTCTTTGTTTGGTTTCGCTAAATCTCTTTGCAAGGAGTCTGATTATCGACCTCCAGAGGATGGTGCCGACCAAGCTGCAAAATCGGTGCATTTGTATCTTCCGATTTTAGGTGATCATTTTTTGAACATGTTTTTTTTTCTTCGCGAGATTGCCCATCGTTAGGTCAGCAAGATTGCCCAAAGGTACCCTCTGGTAAACTAACATAACTATGGAAAATCCTCATTTTTTATGGGTAAATCCACTATAAATCACCATTTTCAATAGCTATTTTGACATAACCAGAGGGTATGTTTTCAATTCAGGAGTTGGGACACTCTTTCGTGCAAGCCTTGGTGGCTTAATAGTGTTTTTCAACAAAGATCCTGGAGTGTTTCTCAACATGGAGGGTGCTGCAAATTCCTTGTGTTTCTATGTTTCAGGAGGATTCAGATGAGGGATAGCAATCTGCTAGGTCCAAGAATTATCTCTGCAGCAATGAATCTGCTGTTGGTTTGTTCCACGTCATGATTAGGCTGCCACAACCACTCCCCGCAGCAGGCAGATTGTGCTGCTTGCCACATGGGCTGCTGGCCATGCCTTGTGCATCAAGCTGAATTGATGAATTGGGTGATGGGAAAATGCTCTGGTTGGACGTAGATATAAGATGATATAGGACGATACGGGAATACAATATACTACATTATTCTGTATGTATATATATATATATATACATTGATATATACGACATACACATCTATTTTGCTTGATCGAGTTGGGCAACCTGTTCGATCCTTTCTTCGAACACTGTGTTGGTAGTGGCATCGCCAATTGATATGGGTGACGATACCACAAATTCTTCGACTGACCCCACTCAGGAAACAAAGCCAAAGCCATAGCCCAGTAGACCGAAAAATAAGATTGATGTGTCTTCCTCCAACAGAGCAGTTTGGGTGACTGTTTGGGCCACTACCTTGGAAAACTTGGCTGCGATCAGCAACGAAAAGCCACTTTATTTATGTCTGCTGACATAACTTACCCTTTAAATCCCTATCTATGATGTTTGACGTCATAGCATGATCTTTTAGCGTAACATTGCTACCAAATTCCACCAGTCATTTGGGGATGGTTTCCCAGCAAAAATGGTGATGACAACTGGGGTAACGGCGACTATAGCATTGGGTAACTCCATGTAACTCCTACATGAATGCCTTATGAAATCTGCTCTTATTAATGTGCTTCGTCTAGGGAATGGGGTTTCGGTTTCATGATCCAATCCCATAAGTATTTTCTCAATCATCTAAAAACCATGGGATGATATTCCCATGCCATAATGATCCAGTAATACTTTGCCCAATGATCCATCCCTAATACCCTCTGGTAAACGTTTACATAACTATGGAAAGATCCACCCATTTTTCATGGGACAATCCACTATAAATCACCATTTTCAATAGCTATGTAACAAATTACCAGAGGATATCCAACCATTAACACTTATTATCCACTATTAACCATGATTAATCGTTATTAACCAGAGGGTATGTCCCACTAACCATGCAGCACCGGAAGACGTCTGAGGCGCACGGAGCTCCAAAAGTTCACGGACTTGATGGACATTGGCGAAGTGCTCCATCGCGCCTTCACCAATCGGTCCCTTGGCGCCACCGGGGAGCACCGTGAGGCGCTGGGGCATTGGGTAACATCGATATGTGAAAAATGGCACATTTATGGATCAAGAAAATCTAAAATGGGTATTTATATGTACTTATGCCAATACAGATTGCATTTTTGTTGTGAAATAACCGTATACATATGTCTTTTCCACATCTATGTTAGTTTTCACTTCTGGGTAAATCAATGTATAAACATTATAAACATCGTTTGCAAAGTGGCCATGTTCCATAGCTATGTAAACGATTACCAGAGATTATAGATAGTTAAAGTTGATGATACTGAATTTGGGACTTGGAAAGATGAGTGAACAGGTTCAAGATTCTACAATGTTTTCTTGTGAAGGTTTGGTATCCTCTATGCTTACTCGGGTAGACCTTTGGCTCACCACCATCTGGACAACTTACAGGACACCCCAAGGGGAACCTTTCCCTCAGGCCAGTGAAACCAATCCAATTCGCCAGGACAGACATCCCCAATCTTCCTCATGTTGGATGTAAATGGTGTTTTCCATGGTATATAACAAAAAACACAAATTTCACCCCAACTTGAGTGACGACTTTCATGGTCCAAATGCATGGTCTTGGATTTGTGAATTTCTTATGCCATCCATTTGGACTGACCAGAAGTGTCTTCCAATGTACTGCCGACCCGAATCTCGGAACCGTTGCTATGTCTGACCAGTTTTGGTTGCAAGCAAATTCAGCAATGCCAGAATTTGCCAGTGGCTAAACTACCTAAAATATCTGAAAATGACAAACTTTTCCTGGGTTCATTGTTGCTGCTTTTGTGCTCGCGAGAACCGTTTCTGGGTTCATCATATATGATGCTGCTCAAATCATGATGAATATTTTATTGACAAATATTACCAAACATTAATGGGTTCATACCTAGACTAAAGGAACTACATGATATAAATGATATAATATAAGATATATTGTACATTATAATAGTAAATATTGAATGGTATATTCTGGTATATCACAAATATGCAAATAAAGTTACTAATACATAATATATATATATAATTATATATACATATTATACATTATATATTATATTCCATATACATATAATACATATGTATGTAGATATATATAGTATATTCATGTGGCATATTTAATTATGTATATATATATACATATTATTTTTAAAGTATGATTATTACATATTTTGCATGTATAAGACCTGATACATGACTGCCATGTCATGCCAGGTATGATGTGAATCTTGCTTCCATCAGCAGCAGCGAGGGACGGCTCTGCGCTCTGCGCAGCCCGGTGTCGCTGATCTCGCGGCAATTCCTGGAGGATTCCTGGCACCTCGGCAGCACAAATAGCGCACCGAAAGCGCGA